TGTTGTGGAGCATGGGCTCTAGGCATGCAGACTTCAGTAGTTGCAGCACACAGGCTCAGTAGTTGTGACATGTGAGCTTACTCGTTGCAGCTCATGGGCTCAGTAGTTGTGGCTCGCAGGTTCTAGAGCTCAGGCTCAGTAGTAGTGGTGCACGGGCTTAGTTGCTCCGCAGCATGTGGGATCTTCCTAGACCAGGGATCGAACCCATGTCCCCTGCATTGGCAGGCAGATTCTTAACCACTGCACCACCAAGGAAGTTCCTTGGTAAGAGTTTTTATCATGAATGAATGTTGAATTTTATCAGATGCTTTTTCTGCATCGATTGAGATGATCTTGTGGTTTTTGTCTTTTCTTTTGTTGTGGTGGTGTATCACATTGATTTGCATATGTTGAACCATCTGTGTGACCCTGACAACTTGATTGTGGTGTATGATCTTCTTTATGTGTTGTTGGATTCGGTTTGCTAATATTTTGTTAAGAATTTTTGTATCTATATTCATCAAAGATATTGGCCAGTAATTTTCGTTTTTGGTGTTATCCTTGTCTCATTTTGGTATCAGGGTGATGGTGGTTTCATAGAATGACTTTGGGAGTGTTCCCTCCTCTTCAGTCTTTTGGAAGAGTTTGAGGAGGATCAGTATAGTTCTTTTTGTGTGCTTGGTAGAACTCCCCAGTGAAGCCATTTGGTCCTGGACTTTTGTTTGCAGGGAGTTTTTAAAATTATAGATTCTGTTTCACTTCTAGTGATTGGTCTGTTCAAATTATCTAGCTCTTTTTGATTCAGTTTTGGTGGGCTGTATGTTTCTAGAAACTTGTCCAAGAAATGCAGAATTTAGTTAAGCAAGAGAAGGAACTTCACTACAGTCTCAGTGGAGTTGCAGCCTTTGGTCCATTTGAATCAAATGCAAGAATTATGTCATGGTATAATTTGGGTCTAAGAGCAAACAACCTAAGCCTGAAGGTTATGGACTTGCGGTTGTGACAGCAACTATAAAAACAGCTCAGAGTGAACATCAGTGGCTTAGGCCAAATTATGGTAAGTCCTTGGCCTATGTAGCCCCAGATCCTGTGACCTGTCAGAAGTCTCTGTCTATTAGCAATTCTGCCTTGCTTGGGATGGTGACCTTAGCTCTCTTGAGATGGGAAAACTGTTCTCATGATGGATGATTGTTTTTTGTTTTGTTTTGAATTTTCTTTTTAATCCTTGGGAGAGTTTAAAATTAACTAGAGTTTAAAATTACATAGACATGATGAACTAAATCAGACTATTATTACTTTTGTATTAAGTTTAGGACATCATTAAAATAATCTGTATGCTTTGGGTATTTAAAGAATTTATAACATTCAAATGGATGTGAGATTTGTGCTGCTAGTTTAAATGATTCATTAGAACATTTGAAAAAATTTTACTTAAGTCAGGCATTCAGAGTGCTTAAAAGCAAAATAAAATTTAAATGAATTTTAAGATGTGGGAATTTAATTAACTACCTTCATTAGTAGGATTGATTATTTGAGGAATTTAGCTCAAGTTGAATTAACCAAACAATAATGAAAGAAAAAGGGAAGGTAATTGTACTTGCTTTACTAGATTTTAAAATAGAATAAGAGTTATATGCTGAATTGAAGTCCCAGAGAAAACTAGATTTTTAAATTTTATTTTAATAAGCTAATAATTATTTTTATACCCAAGTAATAGTCTTCTCTGTGTATAAAAAGATCCCCTCACAGTCATTTTAAAATACACATTGATATTTGCATGTCTGAAAAAAACATTCAGCCCTTATGTTTGATTAATAATTGGGTAGATATGGAGTAAAAAATTTTCTACTTAAACCTTTGAAGACATTATCTGGTTCCTTTACACCCAGTGATGCTGATAAGTTTCATGGTCATTCCTTTTTAATTGATCTCTGTTTGAGGCTTTTCTCCTCAGCCTTGGTGTTTTGAAATTTTGTCACGGTGTTGTCACGGTGTATTTAGGTGTTGTTTTCTCAACACTCAAGAGGTCTTTTCAGTTTGAAAACTCTTGTCTCTCATGAGCTCTGGGAGAGTTTCTTTTACTAAAAGATAATTTTTTTACTTCTGTTTGTTTCTTCCTGAAACACCTTTGAGTCAGGTGTTGAACCTCCTGGAATTTTCCTCTAGGTCTCTCCCCACTAGTTTTTGTTTCTTTGTTTTTTTGTTTATGCCTGAGAGGTTCTCTTGACACTTTTTTTTGGCTTGCGGGATCTTAGTTCCCTGACCAGGGATCGAACCCGTGCCCCCTGCAGTAGAAGTGTGGAGTCCTAACCACTGGACCACCAGGAAGTCCCTAAATTCAGTCTTATCTTAGCCAGTCCTGACCTTGCACAAGCCTTTCTCAGTGTTCCTTTTCCTCAAACCTTCTGAAACCGTGCAGCTCAGATTGGAATTTAAACCTGTGGGCCGGGTCTCAGACCCAGCCAAAACCCAGATTGGGACTTGAACCCACGGTCTTTTAACTGAGATCACACACCTGGTCTCAGGACTTAATGAAGCTCAGGTTCTTGATGTCTCATCGCAGAAAGAATTCAGTGAGAGACAAAGTGATAGGTAAGAAGTGGATTTATTTAGAGAGAAACACACTCCACAGAGTGTGGGCCATCTCAGAAGGCGAGAGCAGCCAACTTTTTCTTTTAACTTTTCCGTGGGTGTTTTATTTCAGCAGCTGTATTGTTAACTTACAAGTGTTTTTCCTTGTTCTTTAATTCTTCTTTTTTCTAGCATTGTGTTCCTGTTTTTAGGTTATCTCATTAATACTTCCATGATTGGGAATTGTTTTTTTTTTAAAGTTCTTTTCTGTTCTCTGAGTTGTCTTTGGTTCCTCTGGGCTCAGATTTTTTTACTTTTGGTTAGTCCTAAATTTTATCTTCCATGTTGCTAGTTTTCTTCATTATGCCCAATGGTCCTTGGATTATCTTTTTTTTTTAAGAATGAGGGACTAAGCTGATTATTCTAGAGAGTTGCCATGGGTTCTTCTACTGTTATGTATATAGGTCTCAAGGACCAGCCCTTCCTGTCATTTTGCTCTGTCATCTTCAGCTTGTCAGTGACAGCCCTGCATACCATTACAAAGTCCCCAGTCATCATTACCTAAAAGCAGAAAGGATGATGGTTCTTTACCTCCTCCCATCAGGGAGGATAAAATGGGAGGAACTGCCCAACACATTTCTTTTATGTATCATTGGCCAGTGCTGGGCCATACACGCACCCTCCCTGCAGTGGAGGCTGATCACTTGCGTCTCAGTGGGAGGCCAAGCATATGCCAGCATGGAGGAGGGTGGCAGAAGGGCTTTGGGGTAGATAACTAGCGGGGTCAGCTGCAGGTTGATGTTTCTACTCGTCTTTTCTGCCTCTTTCACAAAGGATTTTTGTCCCCCTCTTCACTGCTTATTTCATTGTTTGAGACTCTGGAAAAAAAAAATAACTCAGCATAAAAAATAATGACTTTTTCAGGTTACTGGTGGAGAAAACATTTGATTTTTGAAAACTCATAACTAGCTGTAGCCCATTTTCAGTCATTTTTTCTCTCTCTTTTTTTAAATTGAAATACAGTTGAGTTACAGTGTTGTGTTAATTTCTGCTGTACAGCAAAGTGATTCAGTTATACCTATATATACGTTCTTCTTTATATTCTTTTCCTTTACGGTTTATCTCAGGATACTGAATATAGTTCCCTGTGCTATGCTGTAGGACCTTGTTTATCCATTCTGTATATAATAGTTTGCCTCCACTAACCCCAACCTCGGTCGTTTTCATACTTCTAATTTGGGTGCCTAAGACTTAAGACAAATTATATGAGCTGTCCATGAAATATCTAAAACACTGTACCCATATGGATGGGCCATGTTCACAAGGGGAGTGTGCTGTTGGGGGGGAGAGGCCAGCTGTAGAATCCTAAACTCTGCCTTCACATGGTTACTCTCCCTCTGACTAGCTCTGGTCACTTTTCAGAACCTCACTTTCTTCAACTGGAGTGAGGATTGTTATGAGACTCAAATGAGGTGATGCTTGTAAACTGCTTAGCAGTATTTGTGATGCAAAAAATAAATTTTAGCTGTTATTATCATTATTAGTTTTGTCATCTTGGTTGCATCCTAGGTTTATGGAATTTTAGAGCTGGAGAAGCATTTTTTTTTTTTTTTTTGCAGTACGCAGGCCTCTCACTGTTGTGGCCTCTCCCGTTGCGGAGCACAGGCTCCGGACGTGCAGGCTCAGCGGCCATGGCTCACGGGCCCAGCCGCTCCACGGCATGTGGGATCTTCCCGGACCAGGGCATGAACCCGTGTCCCCTGCATCGGCAGGCAGACTCTCAACCACTGCGCCACCAGGGAAGCCCTGGAGAAGCATTTTTAAAGTGCAGTGCTTTCTTTATTTTAGAGATAGGAAACTGAAGCCCAGAGTCACTGAAGTTTTCTGAGTTCTGGTTATCATACCTCATACCTGAGATCTTGACTATGAGCATCACCCAAGCTAATGGATGGAAAGGCATTTACATATGAATTTTTAAACATCATTCATGCAACAGAAATTGCCTTACCTGGGCTTCCCTGGTGGCACAGTGGTTGAGAATCTGCCTGCCAATGCAGGGGATATGGGTTCGAGCCCTGGTCTGGGAAGATCCCACATGCCACGGAGCAACTAGGCCCGTGAGCCACAAGTACTGAGCCTGCGTGTCTGGAGCCTGTGCTCCGCAACAAGAGAGGCCACAACAGTGAGAGGCCCGCGCACCGCGATGAAGAGTGACCCCCGCTTGCCACAACTAGAGAAAGCCCTCACACAAAAACGAAGACCCAACACAGCCATAAATTAATTAATTAATTAATTAATTAATTAATTTTTAAAAAGGCAGATGCTTGCTTTAAAAAAAAAAAAGAAATTGCCTCACCTGCTTAAAGACTTATATATGATTTTATAAAATAGTTTTTCGTTCTGACAATTAAAAAAATCAATATTTTGTTTCTTTCTTTTTTAAAATTTAGATGTATCCAATTAAAACAGGCAATAGATGAAAATAAAAATGCTCTTCAAAAATTAAGCAAAGTAAGTATTATGGTTAATCATGTTAAAAAAATTCCGTTTTTACCCAAATATTTTTTTAAGTGGAAGTTCGTTAGAGGGGGTAATTCCTGGGTTCACATAAGTTATGAAGTGTAACTGTGGTCAGTGCTGACCTGCCCGATGGGCTTACTGAATGTGCTTGGGAGCAGAAAAGCCAGGGCTCCAAATCCTGGTAAAAGTTCAGCTTTAACGAACTCACCCAGCATTGAGGACTCGGAAGAACCCGGAAGGAGCTATTTTTATTTTTGCATTGCGTAAGTTTTATGTTTTACAGTTTAGAATTGTTTTCATTTTAATTACATTGTGGGGAGAGTACATAATCTGGCCCTGAGGGTAAGTGATAGAGAAACTTCTTATATCACATGGCAGCCCTGGTATTGGTGACTCTGCAGAAACAGGGCAAACTAGAGTTTACTCCGGGCAGTTCCCATCAGGATTTCCTCTTTTAATCTGAGCCTGAGCTTCAGCTAGATGTCCGGGCCAGAGGCTCACAGAGCATTTAGGGTGGAAGGCATTTGAAAGTCATCTGCCTGCCTGCATGTGAATCTCCTTTACTGCATCTGAGAAAAGTGGTCACTGAGTGTCTCTTCTGCATTTCTCCAGTGACACAAAACTGTAATTCCACAGGCAGACTGACCCTAAATTTGAAAACCTAACTATTCCTGTTTCACAAATGAGGAAACTGAGGCTTCCAAAGGTGAAGCAGCTTTCCCAGTGTCTCACTGCCAGTAAGTGGCAGAACTTGGACTTGGCACTTGTGTTTTCGACTCAGTCCTCTGTCTGGAACCTGTCCCTTACTGACTATAGAGGGACTGCAATACCGAGCAAGAAAACAAAACAAAAAAATAGGAGGTATACGTTTATTTTGTCATTTGGTTTGCATTCCAACATAATAATCTACATTTCTTTTAAACTTATTTCTCTAAGGTAGGCATAGTCTCATATCAATATTTGCTTCGTCTTATAGCACTTATTGGAGTTTTTTACTTTTAACATACATGTAATCGGAAACTGAAATTTTTATTTTTATTTTTTTAATGAAATAGACTTATATTCTCTCATAGGCTGATGAACCTGCCCCTGTTGGGAGTTACAATCAGAAGAAAGAGGAGGAACGCAATCTTCTGGATAAGCTTACCCACCAACTGCAGGAACTTGCTGTGTCCATAAGTAGAGAAAATGTCGCTGAGTAATGCTCCCTTCCTTCCTTTCTTTCTTTCAGATATTATTGTCACCAACAGTTTTAATGTTTGACTCAGAATAAAGTCATATATAGATAAAAACAAGTGGCAGTAACAGTACAATTAGTCAACATTTATTTATTGTGTATAGTAGAAAGTGTGAGATCCCGTGAGAGATGTAAAGAAGTAGAAGCCATAATCTCTGCTCTCAGGTAAGTTATTAAGCTAGTTGGGGAAACAAAACAGAGATCAGAAGAGCTAAATAAACAGATGTTAGAAAATAAGGATCGGGCTTCCCTGGTGGTGCAGTGGTTAAGAATCCGCCTGCAGGGCTTCCCTGGTGGCGCAGTGGTTGAGACTCTGCCTGGCGATGCAGGGGACACGGGTTCGTGCCCTGGTCCGGGAAGATCCCACATGCTGCGGAGCAGCTAGGCCCGTGAGCCATGCCTCTGAGCCTGTGCGTCCAGAGCCTGTGCTCTGCAATGGGAGAGGCCACAACAGTGAGAGGCCCGCATACTGCAAAATAAAAAGAATCTGCCTGCCAATGCAGGAGACACGGGTTTGAGCCCTGGTCTGGGAAGGTCCCACATGCTGCGGAGCAACTAAGCCCGTGTGCCACAACTACTGAGCTTGTGCTCTAGAGCCCACGAGCTACAACTACTGAGCCCGTGTGCCACAACTACTGAAGCCTGCATGCCTAGAGCCCATGCTCTGCAACAAGAGAAGCCACCACAGTGAGAAGCCCACGCACTGCAACCAAGAGTAGCCCCTGCTCACCGCAACTAGAAAAACCCTACGCACAGCCTCGAAGACACAGTGCAGCCAAAAATAAACAAATTAAATAAATATATTTTTTAAAAAAAGAAAATAAGGATCATGGGCTTCCCTGGTGGCACAGTGGTTAAGAATATGCCTGCCAACGCAGGGGACATAGGTTCGAGCCCTGGCCCGGGAAGATCCCACATGCTGCAGAGCAGCTGAGCCCATGCACCACAACTACTGAGCCTGCACTCTAGAGCCTGTGAGCCACAACTACTGAGCCCGCACACCTAGAGCCCATGCTCTGCAACAAGAGAAGCCACTGCAATGAGAAGCCCACACACCGCAACGAAGAGTAGCCCCCGCTTTCTCTTGACTAGGGAAAGCCTATGTGCAGCAACAAAGACCCAACATACCCAAAAATAAATAAATTTATTAAAAATTTTTTAAAAAAAGAAAATAAGGATCATGCCTTTAATGTCAGTGTTGATGTGTAAAAAGAAAATTATTTGGATTGTCTATTTGCATATTTATTTACTCCTTTTATAAATATTCTTTAAAAATTGGAAGCAGAAACATGCATTCTTTTCCTGCTGGAGTGGATGTTAATAATAGCCTTTGTAAAATGGAAAGAAAACTTGATAGTATAAACAAACCCAATTCATAGGAAGAAAAAAGGAAAAAATCAACTATTTAGACTCTTCAAATGCTGTTCTGATACTTTTACATTTTATCATGGGAAAAAATGCTAAAGAATATAGATGCAAGAATTCTAGAATTTCCATTGATTTCCAGTACTGAGAATGACAAAAGTGGCTGGTATTAGACTTACCCTTCCTACCATAAACACTGTAAAGTCTGGACAAAATATACAGAATGGCTGTTTGAACTCATTGAACATCAGCCAAGCAGGGCTGATATTGTTAATACAGGGAGACACGAGCTGAGCCCTGCGTTTACCCAGAACCTCTTCCTGGAGTTAGTTTATGGGCGGTGGTGCAGGAATCCCAAATGGAGCAGCAGTCTCACCGGGCTGAGGAGGCAGAGATAAAATTCTGGACTTGCTAAGGCTGCTGGTACTTGTGGAGAGAGTGGAGAGATAGAAGAGAGTTGCAGAGAGACAACTGCAGAAATCTAAATGGACTCCTGGGCTACACAGAGCATGATTCCAGAAGGCCTGGCAGAAAGTGCCTGCTGGGAGACTGAGAGCTTAAAAAATTCTGGAGGCCACAGAATCCTGGAAAAATATTCGAGTTTGTACATAGCTGGAGTAAAGAGACCTTGGTGAATGCTTCAGGCATTTAGTTGGAGATCACATAAGGCCCATGCCCTAGGGTAAGGAAAACACCCTAATATTAAGAACTGTGATCTTGGAATACAGACAAAACTGAAGTAGGGCTTCCCTGGTGGCACAGTCATTGAGAGTCCGCCTGCCGATGCAGGGGACACGGGTTCGTGCCCCGGTCCGGGAAGATCCCACATGCTGCAGAGCGGCTGGGCCCGTGAGCCATGGCCGCTGAGCCTGCGCGTCCGGAGCCTGTGCTCCGCAACGGGAGAGGCCACAGCAGTGAGAGGCCCACGTACCACAAAAAAAAAAAAAAAAAACTGAAGTAAATCTTTTCCAACAAAGCCTAAAATCAGACCTTAACAGGAACAAGATCATTTAACTGTATAACAGAACAAAATTCAACACTCTTTAAAGGATGACCACATAATCCAAAGTCTCTAAATGTATTATCCACAATGTCTAGTAATTTTTAAAAAATGACTAGAAATGCAAAAATAAGTAGGGGAAAATAAATAATAATTAAGCAGTGGAAGTCAATAAAAGCAGAGCCAAATCTGAGCCAGATAGTAGAGTAAGCTGACGAGGATTTCTGAATAATATGATTAATATGTTGAAGAAAATAGAAGAAAAGATGGATGGAATGGAAAAAACATGGCATATTTTAAGAGAACTCAAATGTAGAAAATAACCAAATGAACATTCTACAACTGCAAAATATAATATCTGATGGAATAACGGCTGAGGACTTTCTAAATCTGGTTCAATATATAGCTTCAAAAAGGTGAAAATGTCTTATAATAAAGAGAAAAAATAATCATTGGAAGTATAGATGACCCAGATGTGAGAATTAGCAAAACAGAGCTATAAAACAACTATTTTCAATATGTTAGAGAGATGGGCAGATTGCTTGATTAGAGAGGAATCAAGCAGAGAAATGGAAACTAATACCAACCAAAATGGAAATTCTGAAACTAAAAAACAATATATGAAAAGAAAAAAAAAATTGGATGGTTTAACACAAGACTGGATACAATAGAGGAAAAGATCAGTGAACCCAAAGACTGAGCAATGAAAAACTTTCAAACTCATTCACAAAAAGAATAAAAGAATGAAAAGAACAGAACAAAATGTAAGAACGATCTGGGACATGGTCATAAGTTACAGCATATGTGTAACTGAAGTCCCAGGAGAGGAGAGAGAGAATGGAGCACAAGAAATATTTCAATACGTTTTTAAAGAGATCTAAAAAAGTTATCAATTCACTGGTCAAAGAACCTCAGGCAACCCCAAACAATAAATATAAGGAAAACTACACATAGATGCATCAGAGTTAAACTGCTGAAAACTAAAAATAATAGAAAATCTTAAAAGCAGTCAGGGAAATAAAGAAACATATGTACAGGCAAGCAACAATTCAAGTTAAAGTTGACATCTTGTTAGAAAAAATACAGGTCAGAAGATAATGCAGTGACATCATAAAAGAGTTGAAAGAAAAAAAATCTATCAACCCAGAATTCTGTGTACAGCAAAAGTGTCTTTCAGAAATTAAAGTAGAATAAAGACATTTTCAGACAAACAAAAGCTGAGAGAATTTGTCAAACAAATGCTGAGAAATTTGCTAAAGGAAGTCATTTAGGCAAGAAGGAAATGATCCCACAGGAAACCTGTATTTGCAAGAAGGAATGAAGAGCACCAGTATGTGGGTAAATAGAAAAGCCTATTTCTTCTTTCCTAAATGTCTTTAGAGAACACTTGATTGTGTAAAGCAAAGAATATATTTAAGAATTTATAATATATAGTCAATTCTCATTATTTGCTATGGTTATGTTCCATAAAGTTGCTGCAAATACTGAATAGGTGAATACTAAACCATGGCTTCTAGGGAAAATACACAGCTAGGTTTCTGTGAGGCTCTGGTCACAATTTTTTTTGAAACCTGAGTAAAACGTGTCCTTGTTTTATGTGTGTTTCTGTTTAAAGATACTTTATTTAGGGGCTTCCCTGGTGGTGCAGTGGTTGAGAGTCTGCCTGCCGATGCAGGGGACGCGGGTTCGTGCCCTGGTCCGGGAGGATCCCACGTGCCACGGAGCGGCTGGGCCCGTGAGCCATGGCTGCTGAGCCTGCACGTCCGGAGCCTGTGCTCTGCAGCGGGAGAGGCCACAGCAGTGAGAGGCCCACGTACCACAAAAAAAAAAAAAAAGATACCTTATTTAATGTATGTTACTGATTCATTAACATTGAACTCACAGCTAACAGCCCTATAATTCATGCCTGAAGAAATCTAAAACACTTATTTTCTCCATTAAGGCACATCACAGCCTTCTTGTGCTTGGGAACACTACACAGCATTTCAGCAGTATGTTTGGGGGCCATTTAAAACAGCATAGGTAGGTTGCAAGTAAAAGATTGGAAAAAGGTATTCCATGTTAACCCTGACCAAAACAAAGGTGATGCAGCTATAGTAGTATCAGGCAGAGAAGACTTTAAGGTCAAAAGTAATTTAATAGATAAATACATCTTATAATAATAAAAGGATCAATTCAATAGAAAAAAATTATCCCTAATGTGTAGACACCTAATAACAGCTTTACAACGTATAAAGTAAAAATTGTTAGCACTGAAGGAGAGCTATATAATCCACAAACCTTAAGCACCTTTACCTAATTAATATATTTGTAGAATGCTGTATCCAACTAGATAATACACCTCTCTTCCAAGTGCATGTATAACGTTAACCAAAATGAATCATAATGGACCATAAAGCAATTGTCAACAAATGTCAAAGGATTGAAATCATGTAGTGTATAGTCTGATGACTTGGAATTACATTAAAACTCAGTGACAATCTAAAACTAATACAATGATATATGTCAATTATATATCAATTTTTTAAAAAACTCAAATGACAGAAAAATAACTAAAAATCTCCAAATGTTTGCAAATTAAGTCACATACTTCTGTGTAACCTACGGGTCAAAGAAAATATTACAATGAAAATCTTAAAATATTTTGAATGGTAATAAAATACAACTGTGGGCTGCAGCTAAAGCAGTGTTTAGAGGGAAATTTATGACTTTAAATGCATAGTTTAGAAAAGTTGAAAATTAATTACTGAAGCTTCCAACCTAAGAAGCCAGAAGAATAACAAATTAAACCCAAGAAAAATAGAAGTAAGGAAATAATAAAGAGCAGAAGACAGTGAATAATAAACAGACATACAGTAGATAAAATCAATAAACCAAAAGTTGGTTCTTTGGAAAAGTTAATTAAATGGGTAAATTCCAAGCAAGACTGATTAAGAAAAGAGAAAGAGAAGGAAAACAACAATAAAACAGGGAAGAAAACTAATCACTACGGAGTCTACAGAAATTAAAAAGATACTATGAAGATAATATGAACATCTTTATGCCAATAAATTTGAAAATTTAGATAAAATAAGTTCCTTGAAAAATAAAATGTACTCAATTTACACAAGATGAATAGAGAATCTTAATAATACTACCAAAATATCTACTAAAGAAGTTGAATATATAATTAAAACCTTTCCACAGAATAAACCCTCAGGTTGCTTCACTGATAAATTTCTGCATTTAAGTAAGAAATAATACCAGTATTATAAAATCTTTCTAGAGAATTGAAAAAGAAACATTTCCCAAATCATTTTATGAGTGCTAGATAACTTCAATATCAAAACCTGATAAGAGTATTATAAGAAAAATACAAGGCCTTCATGAATGAATGCACGAACTCAATATAAAATGTTAGCAAATAGAATCCAGGGCATATAAAAATGACAGTACATCATGACTAAGTGGGATTTATTCTAGAATGCAAGGTTAATTTAACATTGAAAAATCACTAATTGAAATTTACTGTATTAGCATAATAAAGAAGAGCCATTTGGGTCTGTTTGGCTAGTTTTATGGTTAGCAGTGTCCATTTGCATCAAAGTATCGTTATCCCATTTTATTTTTTTTATTTTTAAAAATTTCATTTATTTATTTTTGGCTGCGTTGGGTCTTCGTTGCTGCGTGCGGGCTTTCTCTAGGTGTGGCAAGTGGGGGTTACTCTTCGTTGCGGTGCAGGGGTTTCTCATTGCGGTGGCTTCTCTTGTTGTGGAGCACGGGCTCTAGGTGCACGGGCTTCAGTAGTTGTGGCTCACAGGCTCTAGAGCACAGGCTCAGTAGTTGTGGTGCACAGGCTTAGTTGTTCCACGGCATGTGGGATCTTCCCGGACCAGGGCTCGAACCCGTGTCCCCTGCATTGGCAGGAAGATTCTTAACCACTGTGCCACCAGGGAAGCCCCTGTTATCCCATTTTAAAGATAAGCTTCTCTAATGTAAGCGTTAGGAGAGCAAAGACCTCTATTTTGTTCATTGTTACACCCCTAGCACATAGTGTCTGTCACACAGTAGGTGCCCATTAAATGCTGAATGTTGAATGAATAAATAAAGCTCAGGGAGACTTAACGACTTATCCAAGCTAGTATTTTAGCTCCTCTCTCTTCCCTCCTCAGTATCTTTCCCAAACACCTTTCTCTTCATTCCTAATTCTTAGTTTAAACTGTTTCATGTCTATCTTTTAACAGCCATCTTTGCCTTTAGCCCTTCTTCCAATCTCTTGCCCACGTGACAGCCTGATCAACTTCCTAAAGTGCAGATCAGATCATGCCTTTCCCTTCCTTCATTTTTAGGGAACACCTTTAGAGATAAAGCTCACATGGGCTGCGTTCTGCTCACCTCTTTTCAATCTCATCTCTTGCTTATTTATCCCAAGCCTCGTCCTACCACTCGTGAGCTACTTGAGGTTCCCTGAGCTTGAGCCTCCTTTCTCCACTCCCTTCCTTACCTTTCTACTCCCCCTTTACCTGATTAATTCCAACTCGTCCCTCAAGACCTAATTCTAAGCCTTTCTGATCCCCACCCATGCAGTCGAGGTTAGGTGTCTCTCTTGTGTGCTTCCTTAGTATCCTGTGTTTACCTCTACTGCAGTATCTGTTGAACTATATAGTACTTATCTGTCTGATAGATTGTTTCATTGTCCTCCTTGAGGACAGGGAATTGTGTCTCGTTTTTCTCTGTATCTACTGTGTCTGACATGGAACCTGACGTATATCATCATCATCATCATCATCATCATCATCGCCGACTTTTTTTTTTTTTTTTTTTTTTTTTTTTGCGCTACGCGGGCCTCTCACTGTTGTGGCCTCTCCCGTTGCGGAGCACAGGTTCCGGACGCGCAGGCTCAGCGGCCATGGCTCACGGGCCCAGCCACTCTGCAGCATGTGGGATCTTCCCGGACCAGGGCATGAACCCGTGTCCCCTGCATCGGCAGGTGAACTCCCAACCACTGCGCCACCAGGGAAGCCCATCATCGCCGACTTTTATTGAAAGCCTGCAGACACTGTTGTAAACACTTTGCAAGTTTGTAACTCCTCTCATCTTCATGATGACCTTATGAGGCAGGTTTTATTATTATCTCCACTTTACCAATGAGAAATGGGGAGATTAAAAGAAACCTATCCCAGGTCACTCAATGAGAAGGAGATAGAAACCAGAACTTAAACTCAGAGCCCATGCTCTAATCACTGTACAATAATGCTCAAGCAGCATCTGCTGAATGGATGAATCCAAGATTTCAGTGCAAGTCTCTTGGCCTCAAGACCAGCACATGCTTCACCAGGTCACATATGTTCCTCAGATATATTAACTCCTCATCACTCTCAGTTCCTCGGTCACATACTCTTTGCTAGATGGTAGAAACTGTTAGTTGCGCTTTCCCTTTATTTGCCACTTCCAAATATAGGCCAGTTCTGTATGTAGAAGTTATACTCGTACTCAATCTGGATCTGTTCTTATACGTTATTTCAGGTGACCCTTGTCAAAGAATTATTTTTTGCAGAACTGGGGCGCTTACTGAAGGAGTGGACGATGACAGCTCTGCTGAAGAAGATGATGAAGAAGGTGACGAGGCCACAAGTGGAGAACACGTTGCTATTGGAGATTTTACGGCTCAGCAAGTCGGAGACCTTACATTTAAGGTAGTAGAAACAGACTGGAAGCTAACCGAAGGATAAATTTTCGTACCTAACATAGTAAGAAAACTCTACCTGTATTCCTGGATTAGATATTCCTGATATTAGCTTTTTAAAGACTCAGTCTGTTTAAATAAAATAAGTGAGAATTAAGATTTACAAGCGGTAGTCAGGCGAAATTCTGTTATCAAAGTTACCTGGTAGTAAAATGGTAAAAAGAGTAGGCGCTCTTCTGTTTTTGAAAATAGTTTTCATGTTGATAATTCTGAATTTAGGGGTAAATTTTAATTAAAACATTTTTACTTTTATTTTCTTTAAGAAAGGGGAAATTCTCCTTATAATTGAAAAAAACCCTGATGGTTGGTGGATGGCTAAGAATGCCAAAGGGAACAAAGGTCTTATTCCCAGAACATACTTGGAGGTTAGTCTTTTTTGTTTATTCTTTCCTTTTTCTTCTTCAAGACATTTTTTCATTTATAAGAAAACACTAAGATGTAGTCTTTGATCAATTGACTAGTGAATGACTTAAGATATAGAATTTGCCTCAATTTTAGAGGGACAGAGCATGGGAAAAATACTGTGTATTATAGTTCTGGGGACCTGTGAAGTGCTCTTATGTAGCTGAGCCCTAGAATGTTATCCCACAATGAAGATGTTCTGTGGATTAATGTTGATCATAAAAATTAATAGGTATTTATTATTTGTTGTGAAACAAAACCACGGTTAACTTTGTGTTGACTTCCACAAATATATGATCCTTTACTAAGATGTGGACATACTATATATGCATGTTTATGGCCTATTTCTTTCACATTTCATAATATAGCATGGTCATCTTCTGTGCCAATATATATAGATCAGTGCTGTCCAATAGAAATATAATGCAAACCACAAATGTAACTTAAAATTTTCTAGTAACGACACTGAGCTGTCTTGTTTTTCTTCACACCACTTCTAACACCAACTGTGTGTTTCTTTTCTGACACCAAATACATGTTGTTTTTCCACACTGATTCTTTGAAACCAACCAGGTATCCGACAATTCAGTTCAATTCTGACCCTAGCTCCTGGAGTTAGCACAGACCTCCACAAGGTAAGGGCTCAGTCCCGCAAGACTGCCCCACTTCAGATGCCAGTCACAAGTCCCCGGGGCTAGCTGTGCTTCTGAGTGACCGGCTCTAAACTTGGAAGTTCCCACACCTTTCCTCAGGTTCAGTAATTTGCTAGAGGGACCCACAGATCTCAGGAAACACCTCACTTTTGCTTCCCAGTTCATTATAAAGGATATAGTTCAGGAACAGCCAAATGGAAGAAGTACACAGGGCAAGGTATTGGGAGAGGGAGGGGGAGTGGGACCTGGTTCCTCCATGTGCTCCTGGAACCACCCTGCCAGCACTTCAAGTGATGGCCAACCCAGAAGCTCCCTAAACCCTGTCTTTTAGGGGTTTTTTGGAGGTTTCATTACATAGACACGATTGATCGAATCATTGGCCGTCAGTGATTAAATTCAATCTCTAGCTCGTTTGAACCTCCCTGAAGGTGAGGGGGTGGGGGGCACTAAAAGTTTCCACCTTCTAATCACTGGTCCCTCTGGCCACCAGCACCCACCGCTCCCCAGGCCATGACCTCATGAGCATAAACTCAAGTATGTTTGAAAGGGGCTTGTTATGAATAACAAAAGACACTCCTGTCACTCAGGAAATTCTAAGAGTTTTAGGAACTCTGTGCCAAGGATGGGGCATGAAGACCAAATGTGTATTTTTATTATACCACACACATTTTTTAAAAGTAAAGGGAAACAGGTGACATTATTAATTTAAAAAAAAATTAATTTGTTTATTTTTGGCTGTGTTGGGTCTTCATTGCTGCGTGCGGGCTTTCTCTAGTTGTGGGGAGCGGGGGCTACTCTTCATTGCGGTGCGCGGGCTTCCCTTTGCGGTGGCTTCTCTTGTTGCGGAGCACGAGTTGTGGCTTGCGGGCTCTAGAGCGCAGCCTCAGTAGTTGTGGCGCATGAGCTTAATTGCTCTGCGGCATGTGGGATCTTCCCAGACCAGGGCTCGAACCCGTGTCGCCTGCATGGGCAGGCAGATTCTTAACCACTGCGCCACCAGGGAAGCCCGGTGACATTATTTTTAATAATTTATTTTATCCAATATATCAAACATATTATCTCATTTCAACATATAATCAATATTTTTAAATCCTTTTTTTTTTAATGCTAAGTCTTCAAATTCTAGTGTGTATTTTACACTTAAATAGCACATCTCAGTTCAGACTGGTCACATTTCAAGTGTCAGTAGGCACAGGTGGTGAGTGCCTGCCCTATTGCCCAGCTCAGTTCTGGGTCATCTGTATCAATGGTAGCATAGTATTCCAGTCTCATTTAGATGGACATTTACGTTGTTTCCAACCTATAATAACTATAAATGACGTAGCAAAGAAGGTAAGATTAGCTTCCTCTGTGAGTTGCAGGAGAGCTCCAGAATGGTGGCCTAAGTAAGGTAGAAGCCTATTTCTCTTGTGTGTGGAGGAAGAGTGGGGATGGGCCATCAAGGAAGGGTAAGGCCCCATCTAATATTCCACCCTGTGGGTAGGTGCGAGCAGCTCCTCCTAGGGTTGTTATCTCTTTAGCTTAGGTTGGCTGCTAGATCTTGCGTTATTAACAATTTCAAGAAGTGAAAGGGGAAAGGGGAAGAAGAAGTCAAAGGGCGTGAGCTGCAGTCTTTTAAAGGTTTCTCGGAAGTTACACAAAAAGCTTCCAGTTATATCTCCTTGGCCAGAATTTAGTTTCTTGACAACACCTGGCTGCAAGGAGGGCTTGGAAAATGGAGTCTTTTAGCTGATTCATTGCTATATTCAGGGATTCTGTTAGAAAAGAAGACCCTGTGTTGTGATCAGTCTGCACACATACCTTGTAGACTGTCTGGTCGTTCCCCTAACTAAATTCCTAAATGCTCATCGCTGGTGCAGAGGGTTTACACCTTTGTATTTTGATTGAATTTGCCATTTTTCCTTTTAGGAAAGTTATGCCTATTTGGACTCCCATCTCCAGCAGCCGAGAGTGCTTGTTTGTCTACACATTTGCCAGTGATGGTTGTCATCAATCTTTTTGCCAGTGTGATAGACCAAAAGAACCCAAAAGGCTCATTATTGTTTTTTATTTGCATTTATTGTACTGCTAGTGAGGTTGAGCATGATTTCATTTGCTTTACGACCATTTCTATTTCTTCTTTGTAAACTGCCTTTTCAGTTCATTTTTCTAAGGGATTTTTGAAAATTGTATTGATTTATATCTTGATGATGTCTTGATGATATGATGATATCATCATATCTTGATGATAAGGATATCAACCCTTAAAAACTTGTGGCAGATACCTTCTTTGTTGACTTTCAGCCATGTTTTATTTTTTAGGTAGTTAAATCAAAGTTACATGGTTTTATCATGACTGGAAAGGGCTTTCGAATCTCAAGATTATTTTCTTCGGGGACCTCCCTGGAGGTCCAATGGTTAAAACTCCACACTTCCACTGCAGGGCGCGCGGGTTTGATCCCTGGTTTGGGAACTAAGATCCACGTGCCGTGTGGCCAAAAAAAAGAAAAAGATTATTTTCTTCTAACACTTCTATAGTTCTTTTTGCTTTTTTGTCTTTTCTTGTTTTTTTTTTTTCATTTGAATAAGTCCCATCTGGCATTTATTTCTGTTAAACTTGTTCTCTGCCTCTGTCATTGTAATGTTTTCATATAGTGACATGATCAACCATGTATTGAAATCTTTTTCCACTGATTTTTTATATGCCCATCGTGTACTAAATCCCTGTGTACACTTGAGCCTTTCTGAAAGTACGTTTAGTGGTTGATTTTTGCATTAGGTAAAAAGTACTTCAATATGTCAATTTTCAGCCCTGTAATAAAGAAGAAGGCCCGGGGCCTAGTGAAGGAGGCAGCGAAGGCGCAGACGTAGGGGAGGAAACGGCAGAAGGCGCAGAGGTTAAACAAAGGTACAGAGGTGTGAGGGGACATCAAAGTACGTTTAGGAAGCATTTCGTTTGTTTATTTTTACTATGATAAGTAATTCAAGAATTTCTTGAAATGGAAACAGCTGATGGTTTGGGAGCAGGGCTTTTCACATTACTGTTTGCTTACGACCATTACCACTTTAACTTGGTGATTAGTGTTAGCACATGATGTTATGCTTAGTCTCAGGTAGACTCTTTTAGGTTTTCAGAAGTTACAGTTAGATACTTTGTTCTTTGATTAATGAAATTCCCTAATTGAGTGAATAGCCATAAACTTTCTGTACACTCACCTAGCTACCGTTTCTCCCTAGAACCGATTCTCATTGGAGTGCTGTCCGAAAAGCCATCTCAGAGGTTGGTATCTCCTGTCTTATTAATGATGTCTCGTTTTGTTACCTAGTAGCTCTGATAAGAGTTCAGATTCAAAACAGGATGGAAACTTTAAATGAAAGCATCGGATCTTAAGCAGGATACAGAGCATGGAATGCACAGAGCATTAAAACATATTTCTGGTTTAGTAAGCCTATGCCTATGAGGGCCTGGAAATGTCTCTCATTGATTCTGCTTGAATTTTCTATCATTTGGGTAAAGACAGTTGTTAAATTTTGTTCATATTAAAAAAATTCCAAAAAGCTCAAAAAAGTAAGAAACTTGGGACCTCCCTGGTGGTCCAGTGGTTGAGACTCCACACTTCCAATGTAGGGGGCATGGGTTTGATCCCTGGTCGGGGAACTAAGACACGCCACGGGGCACAACCAAAAAAAAAGAAAAAGTAAGAAACTATCAATAATACTATCATTTAAGAAGTTGCATAACAAAATGAAAATCCACTCCTTCCATAAGTAATCATCACTAACCATTTAGTAAATATATTCTTTCTGCCTTTTTTACCCTACTTATCACTTACATGGACATGCACGTGTGTACATGCGTGTGAGTGTGTGAGTGTGTGTATGTACATATAGTGTACAAAAAAGCCATTAATTCTTCAGTGCATATCAGTTTACGATATCAACTCATCTGTGACATGGCAGTACTTTGTGGAGCAGGACAGGCCATTTTGATGGGGGCCATGCAGGAAGCAGCAGGTCTGGAGCACAGAGCTCAGCCCCCTGGGCACTGCATGGGGCTTAGGTCCTCAGGAAAGGCCAGGATTCAGCAATGGCGTCTTCTCAGGAATTGGGGGTTAAATTGCTATATTCTTCCGCTAAAGTCTGTACATTTGTGTTTTTCTTTCGGGGGTTGTAGCTGCTGTAGTGATAAAGAGAGAGTATCCTAGAGGTGAGGAAACATGAATGAAACCAAGCAAATTTTTGTTTTACTCTCTTCAGCAGATTAACACCGTCGACTTATTGACCTCGATGGGAGCTATCCCTGCCGGGTTCAGGCCTTCCACCCTCTTCCAGCTTCTGGAGGAAGGTAACGGGTGTCCATCAGCCACCACAGACTTTTAGTTAAGCGGTCACGGTTTACATCAATTTTTCTGGCACAGCCAAAGCAAGTCATTGAAAAAGTTGTAACATCTCACTTCTCTTGGACGCTCATCTTTTCCTTCATCTTGCCTGTGAAGGAGGAAGGAGCCCTGATCTTATCAGAGGCCAAGCCCCCTTCCATTATTTCAAAAACACGACTCTTTGATCAACCCTTTTCTGTATCTTCAGCCTGCTCTCCCCTGCCCCACTGGCTGATTCCCTCATCAGTAGTCCTAGCAAACCTAAAACCTCCCACCTTTACGGACCAGCTCCCCGCAACCCTGTCCCATTCTGGATGAAGCCTCCCTTTCTCTGCTTTTCCTCACAGTGAGACTTTCCCAAAGAGTTTTCCCTATTCGCTGTTTCTGTTTCCTTATTCATTCTTGGATTGCCCTGTACTTGGCAACATCTGTTCATAAGCTCATTTTAAAGAGGAATAATGTTGTGGGGAGGCTCCCCTGTATACCCTGAGCTGCTGAGTCATCTGTGGAGGGGCTGCTTTGAGGCTTCTCCATCGGGAGGCTCTTCTCAGCCCTCCCTGAACACCCAGCTCCTTCTCATGCTTTGTTTTATTTTTGTTTTTTATTATAAATCTCCTTTTATTTATTTATTTATCTATTTATTATTATTATTATTTTGGGCTGTGCTGCGCAGCTTGTGGGATCTTAGTTCCCCGACCAGGGGTCGGACCCGGGCTCTTGTGGAGTCCTAACCACTGGACCGCCAGGGAATTCCCCGCTTCTCATGCTTTGGGTCTCAGGGTACATTCCCAGAGACACCTTCCATGTAGGCCCTCCTACTGCCATTCACTTGAGCACACTTTATAAGTCTAAGTCAGCTTATAATTATTTTGTCTTTTGTCTACTTATTTTTTGTAACAGTTTCCCCCACTGAAGTGTAAGCTAATGAGGGCAGGGGCCATATTTCTCTGATTCACGTTTAATGTTTCCAGCTCCCAGCATAGCACCTGGCAGAGTAGGAACTCAAAAATGAGTTCTTGGGTGAGTAAATGATTTTGTAATAGGTATCCGTCATGACACGAGTATGGAAGAACAGTATTAAAATGCTTTTGTGTTAAGAAGTAAAATTAATGACTATATACTTTTTCTAAAATATCTAAAAAGTGTTCACAGATTTTCTGCATTTTACAAAAATATTTGAATGGATCATCTTCATCATGGGGCATGTTACTGGCCTAAAAGTCTTTAAGATCTTTCCTAAAGCCACTTTAAGATCAGCTCTCATGTGCTTCTGTCCTTAGGTTTCCTGCTGTTGTTCTTATCTCTGTTGGTACGTCTGTCTCAGGAAGCAAGTTTCTAGTAAACAGCTTGGCATTTTCGACGTCTGTTTCCTGAGTTTGTACCATAACATCATGAATTTGGGGTTTTGAATTTCATTCGTTCTTTGTAAGAAAATAAAGGAACAATTATTTTTGCAGGGAGTCAATTTCGAGCAAGTTACTTCTTACAACCAGAGCTCACTACCTCACAACTGGCCTTCAAAGATCTAATGTGGGACGCTGAAACGGGCTCTGTAAGTATGGTTACTGTCAGTAAATTATACGTTTTCCAGATTCTGTCATGGTTGCAAATATACAGGTAACGTAAATTGATTAATGCATTATAAAAAAACAAACAAAAAATTGTCTCTGCATTGTAATTTTGAAACACTTAGTGACAGTTTCGTAGCTGAGACAGTACTTGGGTCTGTTACCTTGACGTTATCTTGTTTCTCTTCTCCACTGCTCTCTTCTCCCATTGTTACAAAGGAAATAATACTAGGTATCAATCTTAATCATTCTTTGCCTCAATTTTTTCGTCTGTAAAAAGGGAAAAATAGTAATAATACTTCTAACGTAGGGTTATTATGAGAATTGCACTGAATGTGTGAAGGGCTTAGAACAGTGCCTGACACATGATGATAGCTTAGTAGATGTTAGCCAGTATCATTGTTATTAGTGGTAGTAGTAATATTATTTTAATTAAATAGGAATGAGGAACTTGGCAGTACTTTCTGATTATACTTTGTGGGGAGCTTGGAGTGGAGGATGACTGGTACCCCCCTAATGGGAAGTGGGAAATGCTCTTGACGTTTAATTCTCCCCTTCTCCCCCTTAGAAGATATAAACTGCATTTGAGCCCCTCACTCCCCTTCCTGTTTACCTTCTGCCTTTTCTCCCTTGCTCCCCCAGAGCCTCAGGGAAGAATAAGAGAACCCAGTGTGGTCAGGTTTTGTGGGGAGGGGTGGTGCAGAATTTTCGTGCTCTTTTCCTTCTCAACCCGAGCAGTGCCTGGAATCTTTTTAGCATTAAATATCTCCTATTGCAAGTTCACAAATATGTTATATTTGGTGTGTGTAGTATACTAGTACTGAATAAATAGCATTTAATTTTGTGAACTTGTACCCAGAGAGCTCAATTGTCAGCTCCCATTTCTTAAATTGAAAAGGTGACAAACTGTTAAACATTGTCTGATTTTTTTCGGTGATGTGTTATTTAAATGGAAAGGCCCAGCACCATAAAGCAGAATGTTAAGAATTGAAGATGTTCTTAAATTTAAAAAAACTAGAATGCCAGTGTTTTTTAATTGACATTCTGAATTATCTTGTGAAATAGAACTGAATAACTACATCCAATGGTCAGTGCGTTCTCTCTGTCAAAACATCTATATTAGAAGCCAGGGAATAATGTAGATAAATGCTTGGAATTGAAACAAGGAGGAGCTAGCTGGATAATATTAACGCCAGGTGTCACTGGTCACTATGCTGTGGTGACCTTCTATCCTTCTATGCGGACCTGCCTTATGTAAGAAGGAGCTGTAAGAACGAACCTGGAATACAGTTGATTCCATGGTCATGTCATTCTTTTTCCCTGATTGTACTGACTGTTCTTTTCATCACAATTTTTGTGTACTTAGCAAAAAAACGCAAAATTTTTAAAAAGATTTATTATTTATTTATTTTTCGCTGTGTCAGGTCTTAGTTGCGGCACGCGGGAGGTTCGTTGCGGCACTTGGGCCTCTCCCCAGTTGTGGCGTGCGGGTTTTCTCTTCTCTAGTTGTGGCATGCGGGGTCCAGAGCGCGTGGGCTCTGTAGTTTGTGGCCCGCGAGCTCTGTCGTTGAGGTGCGCAAGCTCAGTAGTCGTGGCACGCGGGCTTAGTTGCCCTGCGGCATGTGGGATCTTAGTTCCCTGACCAGGGATCAAACCCACGTCCGCTGCACTGTAAGGTGGATTCTTTACCGCTGGACCACCAGGGAAGTCCCCAAAGCAAATATTTTAAATATAAATATTTATGAAAATTTTAACTGAAGTTTTGGGTTAAATTAAACAGACTATTGAAACTTTTCTTGTGTGTGTATGTTGTGTGCAAAATTTATTCTTTTGTTCTTTTTTATTCTATATGCATTTTCTTAAGCATTTACAAAAGATGCTTTGAAAATGAATTTGTCTTATAAGTCATAAAAGTAAACCTTCCTCATAACTAATTTTTCTCTCAGATTAGGTCAAGACCAAGTCGTGTTTCCTTGATTCTGACCCTCTGGAGCTGTAAGATGATTCCTCTTCCAGGAGTGAGCATCCAGGTTCTGAGCAGACACGTGCGCTTCTGTCTGTTTGACGGCAGTAAGGTGAGCTTGCTGAGGAGTTAAACCGGTTCCCACCATATGTTAATGCCACATATTAACCGCGTGCTGCACAGGGTCTGTCTGTCTCTTTCTCCCTCTCAACCTCTCTCTCTCTCCGTGTGTGTGTGTGTGTGTGTGTGTGTGTGTAAGTATCTATATAAAGTGATGTGTGGTAGAGTGCAAACTACATGTGTTCTGATGACACAGACTTAACTCCTGGCTCTTTCAGTTGCTAAGTGTGTGATATTTATACGTCACAGTTAACGCTTCTGAGCCTTAGATTTTTCACTTACAAAAAGGTACTGATGCCTATCTTCTACTATTGTATACAGTTCAGGTTTGAAGGTTAGAGTGTTGCATTTTTGACAGGTGAACACACCTGTATAACCAACATCCCAGTCAACATATGGAGCATTACCATAACCTGAAAAAGTTGCCTCGTGTCCTTTTCCATTCTGTGCCTCTCTGATTCCTAAGAGAATGTTTTTTACCCAGTACCAAAAAATTTGAATAACTCTTAATTAATTGATTTATGAGATACAGATGAAACAGTGCCTGGATGGAATTTTATGACTTTAATTGCATACACTAGACAAGAAGAAAGATTTTTAAATCAGCGATCTAAGCTCGAACTCAAGAGCCTAGAAAAGAGTGAGTCAATCCCAAAGAAAGTAGAATGGAGAAAATAATAAAGAGTAGAAATTAATGAAATAGAAAACAAGAGAAAATCAGAAAAGGCAAAGTTCATTCTTTGAAAAGATTAATAAAATTGAGAGATGCCTAGTAAGACTGATCAAGAAATTTTAAAAGAGAGAAAGAAAGAAAACATGATTGTTGCCGAAACTCTGCCTCTGTTCACCGGTGCCAAATAGAAACGCAGAAACAGAGTTTTGGGTCAAGTAGAAAAGAAGAGCTTTATTGCTTTGCCAGGCAAAGGGGGCCACAGTGGGCTCATGCCCTCAAAACTGTGTGTCCCACCCTGGAGCAGGTAGTGAAGAGTGTTACAGTGCTCAAGGAGCAGAGTGTGATCGGCTCATGGACATTCTTCTGATTGGCTGGTGGTGAGGTAATTGGGAGTCAACATCATCAACCTTCTGGTTCCAACCAGTCTGGGGTCTGCCGTGCTTGTGGGCAGCACACAGTTAAGTTCTCCCACCTGGAGGGGGTTTCAGTATCTGCAAAACAGCTCACAGGACATGGCTCAGAATATTATCTATAGCCCTTGAGGAAGAACTAAAGGTCCTTGACTTTGTTTAACGGCTAAAGTATTATTATTTTGTCTTGCTTGACTGTTTTCCTTTCTTTCTGCATTTTTTCACTCCTCTGATTAAATTTATGCTTTGACTGAAGTTTTTCTACAGACAAAAGGCAGGTGGAGGGCAAGGGTGAGGCTCTTTTCTGGGAAGGCCTCATAGGGTCCTGCTTGGTTACATGATCACCATCTGACATGAAAATGGAGACCTCAGCACAGATCCTGCGCACATTAAAGGGATAAGCAGGGGATATTGTAAACAACTTTATGGCAGTAAATTTGATAACGTCAGTAAACAGATAAATTCTTTGAAAACCATAACTTAATGAAACTGACACAAGAAGAAATAGAACAATTTGAATGACCCCTGTTAAAGAAATTGAAACAGTAATTAAAAAGCTTCCAATAAAGAAAACTCCAGACCCAGATGGTTTCACTGGTGGATTCCTCCAAACATTTAAGGAAGAAATAATACCAATAGTACACAAACTTCCAAAGAGGAGATAAAGAGGAAATGCTTCCCATCTCATTTCACGAGGCCAGGAAAAACATGATACCAAAATATGACAAGACATTACAAAAAAGAAAAATTACAAGACCGGTATTCCTCGTGAATATATAAACTAAAATCCTAAACAAAATATTAGCAAATTGAATCTAGCCATGTATAAACAAGGGCAATATGTCATGACTAATTGGGGTTTATTCCAGGAATTCAAATGTATACACCTGTGTAACCAATATTTAACATTTGAAAATAGATTATTGTAATTTGCCACATTAACGGAACTGAAGAAGAAAAATCACCTGATCATCTCAACAGATGCGGAAAAAGCAGTTGACAGATTTTAACACCCATTTATGATTTTAAAAAAGTTCTCACCAAACTAAGAACAGAAGGGAACGTCAAATTGGTAAAGGGCAACAAGAGAAAACTAAAGCAAAGCTACTAGCATCATCATACTTAATGTGAAATATTGCATACTTTTCCCCTACGGTCAGGAATGATTCAAGGATATCCAAGACATAAAAAAGATAACTCAGGTTTTTTTAATTGACAAAAAACTTGAACAGGTACTTAAAGAAAGAAAATATGGGGGCTTCCCTGGTGGCGCAGTGGTTAAGAATCCGCCTGCCAATGCAGGGGACGTGGGTTCAAGACCTGGTCCGGGAAGATCCCACATGCGTCAGAGCAACTAAGCCCGTGCGCCACAACTACTGAGCCTGCGCTCTAGAGCCCGCGAGCCACAGCTACTGAGCCTGCATGCCACAACTACTGAAGCCTGTGTGCCTAGAGCCTGTGCTCTGCAACAAGAGAAGCCACTGCAATGAGAAGCCCGCGCACCGCAACGGAGAGTAGCTCCTGCTCGCCACAACTAGAGAAAGCCCGCGCACAGCAACAAAGACCCAGTGCAACCAAAAATTAATTAATTAAAAAAAAAGTGTAGTATAAATGTTTAAAAAAAGAAAGAAAGAAAATATGACAAACCGATGGGCCTATAAAAAGATACACAACATATAATAAGTCATCCAGGAAATGCAAATTAAAACCAGAATGAGAGAGAGCCAACCATAGGCTATGCTTAAGAAACCTCCTTAAACATGATATTTGGGGATGATTTCTGGCTCCTCTCTGGAGATGGATTGAAGGGAGGCGGGGGTCAGAGGGATCTGAGTAGACCACTTGAGGGCTATGTCACAGTGTGGTGGTCAAAGGGCAGCAAGTGTCGCCTCAAGAAAACGAAATCTGGAGCCATTTTGCCTGGAATTAACCCTGGCTCCGCCAGCTGGGTGTGGGACGCTGACCAAATGGCTCGACCTTGCTGTCTTGTCTCATGTGCATCCCTTAGGGTCGATGTGAGGACTAAATGAGTTAATGTAAGTAAAGCACTTAGACCAATACATGGAACATCATAAGTTGACCAGATGAGAGATGACGATGGTAACTTAGATTAAGGAAGTGGAGGTGAGAGCTGTGGCCCGAGGGATATTTAGGAGGCAAAACCCAACACACTTTGGTTGGTCGTGGGTTGGATGTGGCAGGTGAGGGAGAGTGGGACGCCAAGCATGACACTAGGTCTTTGACTTCCACATCTGGGTGGATGGTGGTGACGTGCAGTGAGATGGAGAACACTGATAGATAGCTTTCCTTCTGCTGAGTGTACTTCTAACTCGCAGCATGAGGAAAGTGCGTTTCTTTCATCTGCACTGGGGGTAAATAAATGAACTTGTGTTACTGTAAGGATCTTTCCTTCCTTCTACATGCTCTGCACAAGATCACTGCCAGAGACGAGCCAGTAGGTGTCGCCAGTGACCAAGAAAAGATGAGTTGCCTTCTTTTTCCCACACTTTTTGCCGTACCTCTCGCTATTCTCATACGTGACAACATAAAACAAAGATTAGAATTTTATTTTGAATAATATATCAAAATAGTAGAAGTTATTTTATATAAAAATAATAGAAGTTAGTTTATGAAACAAATTTTTGCCTAATTTTCCAAATTGAGGAGAGAACATATTTAATAGTTACATACTCATGCTATTTACTTAAGAATACTTTTTTTTTTTTTTTGTGGTACGCGGGCCTCTCACCGTTGTGGCCTCTCCCGTTGCGGAGCACAGACTCCAGACGCGCAGGCTCAGCGGCCACGGGCCCAGCCGCTCCGCGGCATGTGGGATCCTCCCGGACCGGGGCACGAACCTGTGTCCCCTGCATCGGCAGGTGGACTCTCGACCACTACGCCACCAGGGAAGCCCAAGAATACTTCTTTAATAAGCCTAAGCCACGTTACAAATAAAAAGCATTATTACTAGAACTAGTTAATGAGACACTGCTTCTGATAATGACTGAGTAAGCTCCTCTCCAAATAACTTGCCGAGTGATGAGAACTGTAAATTCTGGGTAATATATGAAAAGCAACTCCCTCAGGGCACTGAAAAGCATCCCAAAGCAGGCAGGTCCCAGAGGGGCATCTCTAACTCTTGAGTCTGAGTCTGCTGTTTTATTTCTTCCCTCTTTTTCATTCCTCTGTTTTATTTTTTTCTGTCTTCCTATGTGTTACCTGAACATTTTTTAGAACTCCATTCTGAATTGTCTGCCATGTTGTTGAGTGGATCTCTTTGTACAGCTTTTGGTATGACTTTATACTTACATAAGTTCCCACGGTTGGCTAGTGTCAACATTCCAGTTGAAGTGACATGTACCTCCCTTACCTCCCTTTAAACCTCCTTACCCTCCCTGCTTTCTAATTGTCTTAAATATCTCCTCTACATACACTGAGAACCACATCACACAGTGTTAGAATTTTCCTTCAACCATCAAAGCATAATTTAGAAAATTTAAGAGAAACCTCTCATGTTTACCCTTGTTTTTACTCTTTCCATTGTTCTTCCTTCCTTCCTGATATTCAGAGATTTCTTTTATCATGTTTTTTCTATTTAGGGAACTTCCTTTAACCATTCTTTTAGGGTAGGTCTGCAGGCTACTAATTCTCTTAGTTTTTCTTTATCTGAGAATGCCTGTTTCCCCTTTATTCCTGAAGGATATTTTCACTGGCTATACAGTTCTAGGTTGGCAATTCTTTTCTTTAAGCACTCAAAAAATATTGTTCCATTTGCTTCTGGCCTCTGTCTGATGAGAATTGGTTTTTCCCTATGGGTGAATCTAGGTGGTGTTTCTCTCTCACTGCTTTCAAGATATCGTGTTTAGTTTTTAGAAGTTTATGTACTTTGTCATGGATTTCTTGGGTTTAACCTGTTTAGGGTTTTCTCAGCTTTTTAAACCATAGGTTTATATCTTTTGCCAAATTTGGGGATTTTTCAGCCATTATTTTCTCAAATACTTTTCCAGCTCCAAACTCCCCTCTCCTCTGGGATTCCGATGACATGAATGTTAGTTAGATCTTTTGTTAATAATCTCACAGGTTCCTGAGGCTCTGATCATTTTTTCCCATCTATTCTATCTCAGTTGTTCAGACTGCATAGTTTCTGTTTTCCTATCTTCAAGTTCACTGATTCTTTTCTCTCTTTTCTGTTCTGTGGTTGAGTCTATTCAGTGACTTGTGTAGGTGTGTGTGTGTGTCTGTTTTTAATCTTGGTTATTGTATTTTCCAGTTCTAGAATTTCCATTAGGGTCTCCTTTATCTTTGATTTTTTTGTTGAGATTTCCTTATTTCTTTCTTGAGACTTTGTATTTCTTTCTATGTTTTACATTTCTTTTAAGCATCTCCATAGTTGTTTATTGAAACATTTTTAGATGGCTGCTTTAAAATGCTTGTCAAATAATTCCAATATCTGTGTCATCTCAGTATTGGTATCTTTTGATACCAGTCTCATTCAAGTTGAGATTTTCCTGGTACTTGGTATAATGAATGATTTTTTTCTTTTTTTTATTATATCCTGGACATTTTGAGTGTTGGGAGTCTCTGGGTCTTGATAAGTTTAACTTCTATTTTAGCAGGCCTCTGACACCATTACTGCCAGGTGAGAATGGAAGTCCAGATTCCCCACTTGGCCTCTGCCCACACCCCTGGGGGTTGGTGTGCCTCCTTACTTTTGGGCCCTAATGGAAGTCCCCTCTAGGCTTCCAGAGACAGCACTCACTGTGTCATTCCTCAGGACCTATGACCCCTAGTCAGCCCACTTTCCTGTCTCCATTGTGGACATTACAAGAAGATAAAAAATAAGGTTCCTGAATTTCATTGTGTTAAATTTTCGATCAAAAAAAGAACTGTGAACAAATGATGAACTCTAGCTAATGATATGCACGCTAACGTATTTAGAGGAAAGTTTACTTATGTCCGCAAGTTTGCAGTGTATGAAAAAAATTAGGTGAATTGATGGATGGACAGAAGATATATGTGGTAATGCAAGTATAGTAAAATATTGATGGCAGAATCTAGGTGATAAGCTTATGGGTGTTCACTATAAGTTTCTTTTAACTTGTATATTTATATATATTTAATATATATTTGGTATATATTTGACACATTTCATAATTAACCACCATTGTATGTTTCATCCTTAAAATTTGATTGAAAACCCTTAAGAACTCAGTAAGAAATGATACATCAAGTAATTGTATTAGTTTTGCCAATAATAAAAGAAATAGAAAGCAAGTGTAAATCTGTTTACATTTAGACTCTTATCTTAGAACATTACAGTCTTCCAATTTGTTTATTCTTTTCCTTTTACATGTATTTTATACCACAATCTGACTTTTACTGGAATTAGCAATATTTGTTAAATTAGTAACTATTTCAAATACATAGAAACATGCAGAAGAAAACATAACAGCTACCCATGGCCTTGTCACTTAGTTCTATTGAAGCCTCTCAGTTTGCAATATGTAAATGTTTAGCCTACTTACTTAGCTGTAGATTATTCTCATAAATCTAAACTCTGTATTTCTTTCTCCTAACACACCAACGATACTAACATGCTTTAGCTACCTACTGGCCCATCTTGTCATTGTTGCCTAGAAGTTTTTTGGGTTTTTTTTTAATGCAAACAAATCTATTTTTTTAAAAACAGTAAATATGTAATTATGTATAGTGACATATTTTGTTAATATCTGTGCTCAGGGTTGTTTCTTGTATTGTAAGTATTTGATTTCTTCATGTGTCCTTAGAAGCACATTTTATGCAGGAGATATTTTACCCTTCCCCCCCCCCCAGCCAAGCCCCACCAATCTAATGGTGTTGTGGTTGCTACCACCAATACTACCCCCACCTCCAAACTCCAGTCCAGAACCAGATCTTACAGTGAAGTTTAGCATTCTTGATCTAAGCTGATGTCGGGGACATCAGCGATTCACTTAAAGGTTCACTTGTTTACTTGGTTCTGATCCTGGTGTCATGGCTCCATCTTTGTCCTTCCTACTTAGGCTCTTTACTTCCTATGAGGAGAAAGGTTGGCCACCATCTTTCTTCTACCCTACTGGCTTCAAGCAATAAGGCTGTCTCTGTTCCTCTATCATGTGTTGAGTACCATTAGCCTCTGGAACATACAAATCCGGCTCCTTGTCACCATGTCCCGCTCTAGACTCAGAGCCCAGGAGACCCCCAGTTTTAGTCTCGCCCTATTCTTTGTTTTTCTCTTCTGTTTATGGGCCACTGAAATATTCATCTCACTTTTGGGTCCTCCTCTGTCTTTTTAAGTGTCACTGCTCTATGTTTGGAGCAGAGCAGCTGTGTTGAAGCATAAATTCATCTTGAGCAGAAGTCCTTATGCATTCTTTTGTTTGTTTGTTTTTTAAACATTTATTTATTTATTTGGCTGTGCCGGGTCTTAGTTGCGGCACGCAGGATCTTCGTTGCAGCACGCAGGGTCTTTTAGTTGCAGCATGCGGAATATTTAGTTGTGGCATGCGGGGTCTAGTTCTCTGACAAGGGACCGAAGCCGGGCCCCCTGAATTGGGAGCGCAGAGTCTTAACCACTGGACCACCAGGGAAGTCCCCCTTATGCATTCTTTTTTTTTTTTTTTCTTTTTTTTTCTGTACATGGGCCTCTCACTGTTGTGGCCTCGCCCGTTGCGGGGCACAGGCTCCGGACGCGCAGGCTCAGCGGCCATGGCTCACGGGCCCAGCCGCTCCGCGGCATATGGGATCCTCCCGGACCGGGGCACGAACCTGCGTCCCCTGCATCGGCAGGCGGACTCTCAACCACTGCACCACCAGGGAAGCCCCCACTTATGCATTCCTGATGCAGTTTGCTAAGTGGAAAAATCTCTAAAATTTTGAATCCTTGATTATTTCATCCTTATGCTCTGAGCCAGTCATTCACCCTCTCTCGAGGCAGTTTTCTCAAATGTATAATGAGATGTTTGGACTAAGTCCTTTTTAACTCTCAGTCAGTAACTCAAGAAGGATGTAAAATTATCAAGCAGAAGAAGTTATTCCTCAGTCAAAATCAGCATCTCCAAGTCTCCAAGTCGAGAAGATAAAAGCAGAGATAGTATGAGATCTCAGTTTCAATGATTGCAAAGGACTTCTTAGATATTAGAAGTGGGGAACACTTCTTGAAAAACCAAGAAGGACCTTAGAATAAATAAAATGCAGTCTTAGATGAGACACCAGATAGTAATCAAAAGGAGTTTGTACTCCAAGAGCCCAGTCTGAGAATATATATCATTTTAGAAAGGGTTTAAATAAATTCATTTATATTAGTTGTGGAAGGAAATGGAGACTTTCTCTGTGGAAAACAACTTAGCTGCCCGTAAGATCCTCCTGCTTGCTTACCAATACCAACACAGAGGGCAGTGAATTGAATTTGACCTCATAGGACACGTTCAGGATGATTTCTAATTATTTTTAAAGCTTAGCTTTAGAAATGCTATACTAAAATATTTTTATCTAAAATAAAAATTGTATATTATCTATTCTTCTGGAAAATGTCAGTTTTGGCCATAACTTTATAGAATTTGGACTCTTTTTTTTTTTACAGTTTTTGCTCCTTTTGTATTCTATTGATTTATGTATATTATAGGACTAACTTCTTGCAATAGCATTTTATAAGAGATTAAATTCCAGGAAAAATATACTTTATGGGCCTAGGGATCGTGAAGAAAACTGTAACCATGTATCTGAGCTGGTAGCAGTGTCTGTCTTGATGGCAGGGTAATGGATTGCACATAAAATGCTCTTGTGGATCATATTTCTTAAAAGGTTGTTCATACCTAAAATTTCTCTGAATTTTCTGGTTAATCTATCTCATATATTAAGTATTTCACTTAATACAGTTTATCACTAATGCAAAGATCTGAGTCTGAATTCATTTATCAGTTCTTCTGTTGTGTTATAAGTGCTGTAACACTTGTTTTTTTGTTAATCATTTTAAATGTTATGTATGTATAATACTTGATGTAAAAAGAAAAAGAATTACAGAATTACACAAAGTAAGAAATAAAATATCCCCCTCTCCCTCTGCCCAACTGTTAACTGTTTGGGACCTGGAAGTGGTAATGTTTCAAAGAGCTTTCTACAAGATGATTTCAAATGGGAAAATCTCATTTCAGGTTCTGAGCAACATTCATACAGTCAGGGCCACGTGGCAACCTAAGAAACCCAAAACATGGACCTTTTCTCCCCAGGTAAGTAACCTGCTTACTTGTGAATGGAAGTAAGCAGAATGGAATGAAACATGAACTTCTTTTACCTGATAAGTGTTATATGATTAATTTCTAAGGCAGGATTGTCAAAGTGTATTCCTGAAATAATGTATTTGTATTTAACACAATATATGGGGCCAGATTTGAATCTTTAGATTAATGTTCTTTGAGGACTTTGATAACAATTACTCATGTTTATGACTCACCAAAGTTATAATGCCTATGAATCATCTCCTTCAATGGATCACAAGGTTTAATTCTAGAAAATTCCCTCTGATGAAAAATGAAAGCAGAAAGAGAAAACTTAGGAAGTGTTTTTCAAAAATGCAATCTCCAGCTGTGCTCACGAGAGTTGTGCTTTCTTCAGATAAAAATCAAGGGTGACGCCTAGGGAACTGGTCATTACACCCAGGGACTGTCAAGACTGGGACAAACAAAGGCTGGAATGAGGTTAAGTGGCTTGAAACCACCGAGTCAGTGCCACATGGGTGCCAGTGGAGACGAAGATATCTTTATGTTCTTTTAATAATATTAATTTTCTATAGTTCTATTTACTTTACTTTTTTTCTACCTCCAGAGTTTCATTACTTCCCTCCCACAACTAACTCCCTTATGTCACTGCCCCTGAGAACCCTTCATTAACCTTCTCCTATTGCATCAGAAGGTCTTAGAGCAAGACAGAGGTTCACTGAGAGGACACAGCATGTGGGGGAGGCCCGGCCACCTCGCCTGTGGGCTGTGTGTGTCCACACTTGTCTACCACGCGACTCCTACAAGTCCAGTTTGATCTTCTAAGCATCCTACTGCTTGCATTTTTTAAAATTGTAACAATATAATTGTTCTACTCTTTTTTGTGTTAATTTCCTTTTATTTTATTTTTTTAATGTTTTGGCCGCCCCGCGCGGAGTGCAGGATCTTAGTTCCCCGACCAGGGATCAAACCCGCGCCCTCTGCAGTGGAAGCGCGGAGCCTGACCCACTGGACTGCCAGGGAAGTCCCCCTACTGCTTCCATTTTGACACAGCACTTCACAGTTCTGCTAGTGCGTCTCTGTGCATGTGAAGTGGTTAGGGTGGAATTTTCCAAGGTTTTCCTGGATATAAAGATGAACTGTTTGGAGGGCTAAATAATATGTGTATGTTGCTTTGTTGAATGAAATTAAGCGTCCTTGGGTGTGAGGCATTCTTCCTAGGTACTGTGGGAGCTTACACGTTAGTAGAGAAGACACATAAAACACCAATATCCTCTATTCATGGGGCTCTGACCGCGTGCCAGGCGCTGAGGTAGGCCGTGACGTGCATTTTCTCATCTAATCCTTGGAGTCGCTCTAAGGAGTGGGTGCTGTTGATAACTGTCACATAGGCAGAATGTAACATCACACAGGCAGCACTTGGGGATCCAAGTGCTGTGGAAGCACAGAGGAGGGTGAAATAAATTCTAGTCCTTAGCTCAGGGGAGGTTTTATAGAAGAGAAACTAAACTTTGAAGAATGGGTAGGATTTTATAGGCAAGAAAGAGGGATGTAGTTGTCCAGGGAGGGGGAATGGAAAGGGCAGAAGGGAAGGAAAGGAAAATTTCCAAGGCATGCCTGAGGAAAGTTGAGCAAGTGTGTGTGCAGTCTGCAATTTTAGTTCTGTTTCCAAATGACAGCGGTTAATATAAATATAAATATCAGGGAATTTCCTGGTAGTCCGGTGGTTAGGACTCCGCACCTCCACTGCAAGGGGCACGGGTTCGACCCCTGGTTGGGGAACTAGGATCCTGCGTGCCGCGTGGCACAGCCCCCACCAAAAAAATCTTATCAAACTATTTTTGTGATCCCTCTGAAGACCTTGGTGGTACAGTGCTTGTTTCACATTAGCCTCTGCTCTAAGCATAGAGTAAGTGAACGTAAAGGTAGTTTTCTTCAACACAAAAATTACATTTTAAAATTTCAAATCATTGGTATAGATGAGTCCAATCCATCTGCTTTTTGTTTCCTTTAAAAGACCTTTATTATGATGCAGCGGCATAAACTATTTATAGATGAAGAGAGCTGAACCTTCCCTCCATTTTAAAAAAATTTATTTTATTGAAGTGTAGCTGATTTACAATGTTGTGTTAACATCTGCTATGCAGCAAAGTGATTCAGTTACACATATATATACATTCTTTTTCATAGTCTTTTCCATTATGGTTTATGACAGGATATTGAATATAGTTCCCTGTGCTATCAGTAGGACCTCATTGTTTATCCTCTAACCACTTTTCATGTTTATTAGTAATTTTCGCTTTTGGTATCATTTCAGGTTACTGGCATCTTGCCCTGCTTGCTTGATGGTGACTGTTTCATCAGGTCCAATTCTTCGTCTCCAGATCTTGGAATATTATTTGAACTTGGAATTTCTTATATTCGCAATGTATGTCAATTGAAAGATACAGCTTTCTAATGTGTCAAAGGGGATCCCTTATGTCTGTCTTTAGTAAAATAATCGGGGTTTTTATGTGTAATAGAATTTTAAGCTCTTGAAGAATGAGAGTGACAGTGATTCTAATTTTTTTATGATGCTGTAGTGTTTAAAATAAGTGTACTTGTTTACATTTATAGCTTGAGCGAACTCCAGTGCTTTTAAAGAATGAAGATTGGAAAAACATAAGACCTTGCAGAAAGTGATAAAAGATGCTCAGCGGCTTTGCAGCACAGTGCTTTAGCTCTGTCCTGGAGGGTTAGAGTGCCCCTAACCTTGCAAATGAGGGTTCTAATGAAGGGACCTGGCAGAGGGGTAATTTTTATAAAGGGAACACCAGAAACTTGGATTAATTTACATCATATAGACTATCGAATCAGTGGGTGTGGGTCTGTGGTAATAATTATCTATTTCCATATTCCAGTAATAGCTTGATAGGTGTAGTATGTGTGCTTGGCCTCGTGATAACCCAGAGAGCCAATTTTTATTATGTTAATGGTGTAAATACTGTCCTTTCATTTCTTTAAGGCAAATTCATCCGTCTGCTGTGGGTGGGTAGGACAGGAGCAGGTCCCCCAGGTGAACCCCAGACGCCTCTGACAATTGACATTGGGTTAAGTTCTGAGCAGAAGGACCCTTGAATGCTTTAAGTGGCTCATCCCATTTCTTACTGAGACGGAGCCTCCTACTCTCATGTATATTGAGGTGATCTGGAACCATCCCACAGCATATTTATGTCACTCAGGAAGCAATAGTGGGCTTCCCTGGTGGCGCAGTGGTTGAGAGTCCGCCTACAGGGGACACGGGTTCGTGCCCCGGTCCGGGAGGATCTCGCGTGCCGCGGAGCGGCTGGGCCCGTGAGCCATGGCCGCTGAGCCTGCGCATCCAGAGCCTGTGCTCCGCAACGGGAGAGGCCACAGCAGTGAGAGGCCCGCGTACCGCAAAAAAAAAAAAAAAAAGAAGAAGAAGCAATAGTAACAGTTGTCATATCATCAGCTTTAGGGGTTTTTCAGGAGCAATTTAACGAGAGAAGATTTTCATTTTACATCCTGCCTTTACCATCTGGCCTGCAAGTCAAATGGGACTCCACTGGGTTTCACTTTGTTTTCTTGTGAATAATTTTTTAGTCCTAAAGGCAAATACTAGTTTTATTCCTTTTAGAAGAACTTGGCATGTGCTTATAGATTTGACTGATTCAGACATTAAGTTTCATACACTTTTTTATTTTCTAGTCAACTGGTGAGAGAGGAGAATTAAGTTGTGGCTGGGTGTTTCTTAAACTTTTTGATGCCAGTGGAATTCCTATTGCAGCAAAGTAAGTTGGCTTATATATTCCTTCCAAACGGGTAATTTTGTGGAAATTCTTTTTTTTTTAGAATCTAGATACCTCAGGTTTCCAGAGTGTATTATTTACATTTCAGTAACTTGTGTGGAGAGGGCTTTTAATGTTGATTTTAATGTTCTTTTAGGTAGTATATGAAAACAGCACACATGATCTCATCCTAGCGGGGAAGAAATGACACATGTAGCAAAGGTATTTTAAAAGATATTTGCACCGGTTGTCTGCTGAGAATATTCTTTCAGTGATTTCCTGTGGTATTAGTACATTTCACAGTGCTGAAATAGAGCCTCATTCTCGCCAAAGAGTGAGAAAGCTGAGTCTGGGGTCCCCAGGTCCTCCGTGACTCTGCCTTTCTTCCTTAGGTGGTACATGGAAATTGTAGCAGCCGCCACTGTAAACAAATTTAAAATTTAAGGCCAAAAACAAATATTTGTAATGCATTTGCAATATATACATAACAGTCACAAGATTATTATCCCTAATACAAAAAGAGCTTTCAAAAATTAAGAAGAGGCCAATCCAAATTTGAAAATGGGCACACACACACAAATCTAAGTCTGGAAGATAAGAAACCCGCAGAAGAGATACAGATGGGCAGTCACTAGGATGATGATTGAGATCCCAGATTTGGAATGGTAAAATTCAGGGCTGTAGCCTGGGCTCTGTCCATGTAACTGTAAGCAGGTTGTCTGCAAGCCTCAAGTTCCCCCATCTTTAAAATGGGATCATAATAGTTCCCAAGCCCAAAGGTTTAATTCAGATAATGCACCCCTCTTCCATCTTTACTGATACCTCAGGGGTGGGCATGACCTCCTTACCACTGGACAGAGGTTGTAAAAGCCCTCCTCTGATGTTACCCCAGTGGGAGGGGGAGGGGCCCTCTATCACACCCAACCTCCCCAGCCACTGCCTGTAGATGTAGAGGCCCAGGCTTCTTATGGGTTTTTATTGTTTTTCTGCTTTTGTTTTTTGTCCTTAATACTGTTCAGGGTTTTTCACTGTGCTTAGTGGGAGGGAAAAGTGTGTTTATCCAATCCTTCTTAAAGTGAAGTCATAGCTATTTTTTAAAATGAGGTAGAGGCCTATCTATTGATACAGAAACATGTCCAATGTGTATTATTATATATGAAAACGGCAAGTTGCAGAAACGTGTGTGTGCTGACTCCATTTCTGTTCACAAAGAGCTGTGTTCGTGTGCGTGTGTGTAAACTGTTCCCTGGGGAGCAGAACTGTGGAGGTGGTGCCACAGGATTAAGGAGGCCTCTTACCTTCTGTTTCCACACTTAGGGAGTACGCAACTTTAAACGTGTGTCAGTTTAAGATTTACTGTTTAAAATGTGTGTGTTTGTTTCTATTTGTATTGAAACAGATAGGACAAGGGGCTACCAAACTAGGGGGGAAAGAAGGGGGGAGGGATTTTTCATTTTTTGTTTATCGTTTCTATGCCATTTGAACTTTTTACAACAATCTACATGTTACTTTTATATTTTAAAAATATATGAACTCATAATAGCTTTATTTCCAATGATGATTTTTGAAAATGCATTTAAATAACACGAGTCATTAAAGTTAAAAGACCTTAATGACATCAGTTAATCTTTCTCATTTTTATGTAGAAAAATGTATTTTCTGTTGTTCATAGTTAAGAGACTTTATTTACTGAGATGATAACCCCATGGAGGTATCGACAACCTTCATTCTCATTTACCAGTGAGGCACAAATAAAATGTCTGTGAACGCGTCTGTGCTAAAAAATGTTCCACTACTGACTCTCCTGTTTCTCAATGTCCATAACATGTATCCATCATGGTATATTTTTCTTTTGTAGAACTTATGAACTCTTCTTGAATGGAGGCACCCCTTATGAAAAAGGTGTTGAAGTGGACCCTTCAGTATCCAGAAGAGGTACCACTCTTCTGTGTTGCTTTCTTTCCTTTCCTTAAAGATCAAACAAGCAGAAGATACACCGGAGAAGATACCTATAGTCTAATAAGCGTAACACTTTTCACGTGAATTCACATTTTTTAACATATGTCGTTTGATGTTAAAATCTTAATCATTTTTATCTAAGTGCTTATTTTCTTGGTAGCATATTTGAGACTCTAACTTAGGAAATTAGGATGCACGAGGACCCTGTACTGGTTCCTCTTCACTGAACACTGGGCCACAGAATTAATAGAATAGGCCAATTCAGTGATTGCCTATTGCTAGGTCAAAGGGTGTAGACATTTGAAATGGTGGTATACATACCAGGTTGCCCTCCAAAAATACTGAGCATCTTTTAATGTGTTCATTGACCGGGCAGTGTGCTAGATAAAGGGAAAATGGAGAGTAAGGCAGATATGGCCCTTGCCTGTTGGAACTCAGAGCCTGGTGGGTTTGAAACTCCCCTCTAGCTCCTCAGACATCCCCCTCCTTGTTTCGTGATTTAGGACACTCAGCGCTGCTGCCGCCCCAGCAATGCCAGTCCCACCTTCTTGGAACAGGAAGGAGCTGGGATCTGGGATGCAGCTGGCTCTACTTGGAGTCAGACGTGCTTTTTAGACTCCCTTTTTCTTTGTCATCTGGCAGCAGTGATGCCGTCACGGTATCTGATGTAGTGGCAGCTGCAGGGGTGGGCTGGTTGGGTACATTCTGAAGGTCCTTAGGGCACATCATACTTCATCAGTCCATTTAGGGCGTATGGGCGACTCCTGCCTCATACAATTCAGCCCCACTGGTGCTGAAAAAACTTTGTCTTATTTTTATATATAAAAAAATGTATATAAAATACTCTATTTTATTATATTCACTGCCTAAGCACTTAAAGTTTTGAGATGTATTTTTTATTTTTTTTAAGCACATGGTAGTGTTTTCCATCAGATGATGACAGTGAGAAGGCAGCCTCAGCTTCTAGTAAAACTGAGATCTTTGAACAGAAGATCAAGGAACATGCTAAGGTTGGTACCTGCTGTTACCTGTCCGGTGAACTTGGGCCCATTCAGCGTTTGTGGACCATCTCTGCTTCTGGCTTCTCCACGTGCTTGGTCACCTTTTGTTAATTATTTTTTTCCTCACTAATTCTTCTGCCAAGGACCAGTAGGGAAATGGAATAATAATACATTTCAGATTAGCTTACTCTTCTGTTCACCAGTTAGCACAGATGATAGATGCGGTCAGAAATAGCATAGAAACTTTTGAGTCAACGGGACTTATCATCCACAGTCCTACCCTTAGGGAACTTTGGGGAACTTTTTTTAATGTCAAGTTTATTGAGGTATAATTTACACACAGTAAAATTTACCCTTTTTAGTTTAAGTTCTTTGCGTTTTGACAAGTATATACAGTCATATAACTACCACACGGTCAAGATAGAGAATGTTTCCATCACTATAAACAGTGAACTGATGCCCCTTTGTAATCAGCTCTCCAGCTCTGGCCTCAGGCTACTGCTCCTCTGTTTTCTTTCCCAACAGTTTTGCCTTTTCCAGAATGTCCTACAAATGCACTCACACGATACATAGCCTTTTGAGTCTGGCTTCTTTCATTTAGCGTAACGCAGTTGAGATACACCCATGCTGTTGCATGTGCTAGTGGTTTGTTCCTTTTTGTTCTAATTAGTATTCCATTTGTGTTTGTTTATTCACTAGTTGATAGATACTTGGGTTGTTTCTGGATTTGGGCAGTTATGAATAAAGCTGCTCTGTATATTTGCGTAAGAGTTTTTGTGTGTGTGTGGGCATGTCTTCCTTTCTCATGGGTATAAATACTTAGGAGTGGGATTACTGGATCATCTGGTGTTTGTTTAACTTTATAAGAAACTGCCAAACTGTTTTCCAATATGACTAGGCCATTTTACACTCTCTCCAGCAACATATGAGAGTTCCAGTTCCTCCATATTCTTGACCACATTTGATATGATCAATTTTTTTCTGTTTTGCCCATTTGATTTATTTATTTATTTATTTTTGGCTGCATTGGGTCTTCATTGCTGCGCGTGGGCTTTCTCTAGTTGCGGCAAGCGGGGGCTACTCTTCGTTGTGGTGCACAGGCTTCTTGCGGTGGCTTCTCTTGTTGCGGAGCACGGGCTCTAGGCGCGGGCTTCAGTAGTTGTAGCACTTGGGCTCAGTAGTTGTGGCACACGGGCTTCAGTAGTTGTGGTTTGCGGGCTCTAGAGCACAGGCTCCGTAGCTGTGGCACACGGGCTTAGTTGCTTCACGGCATGTGGGATCTTCCTGGACCAGGGATCAAACCTGTGTCCCCTGCATTGGCAGGCAGATTCTTAACCACTGTGCCACCAGAGAAGTCCTTGCCCATTTTAATAAATGATTAGTGGTAGCTGTTGGTGGTTTTAATTTGCATTTTCTTCAGGGAGATTTTGCACTGGTAGAATCCCAGGTCGATCCATTTCTAACTCAGTAACCTCTTGGACAAGTCATTTACCATCTTTCTCAGGGTCTCAAGGTCTACATCCTTAAAATGGACATAATAATAATATTAACCCGATCAAGCTCTACAGAGGTTTAAGGAAAAGAAAATATATAAAACGCTTAGCTAGTACATGGCACACAGTAACACACAATAAGTACCAGCTATAATTATTACTATTATATAGTAATAGCTATATTATAAACAGCTATAGCTATTATTATTATCATATGTCTAGATAAATGTAAATATAATGACAGGTGGCTGGCACTCTCATCAAATTTGTTCAAATGAGGATGTGCTATGTAGCTGGTAGGATCAGGGGGATTCAAAATAAGCTTTGAAGGTTTGGAAGAGGTGCCATTTGATGATGTGGAGATGTGGAGAGTACGCAGTGGACGGGGGGGCAGAGGGAGGAGCGTGGCTCGGGAACAGAGACTGATGCAGTTGACTGGTCCCACAGTGACCTGCTCTCTGCTCGCGGATTATCAGGAAGCAGGGAACCTTGGCCCACCTCTGTGAATGGTTGCTTTTCTCATTCTAGATCATGCTCCCAGTTTAAATATCCCTTGTCCTTATCTCTAGTACTGAAACGTGTATTATAATTATAGTATTAACAGTTAAATCTTTCAATAACCATTAATTATGTGTTCATGTGTAGTATTCATTCTCTTGGCTTTTTTTTTTCCTGGATGTTCATAGAGCCTATAAATTCCCTTTTTTTGGCCAATCTTTCCTTGGACAGTTTTTATTTTTCAAGATTAATAAAAGAAGCACAGTGGCGGTCTTTGTAGAAGAAAAGCTAGAATCCTGTTTGGCCTCATTCTTCCTGCGTCTTCAGCCTCCCGCTACCCCTCTTGTTGATAAGCTTTCGAGAGTCCGAAGCACTCCCAAGCGTGTCTGTCAAGTACTGCTCTTAATAGTGTTTCTTTGGCCCCAAATATCAGTTTGCAGATACGCTTTACAATCTAGAGATCAAATCTGACTTGGGTGTGCGGGGGTCAGATGGGCGGGCCCGTTCTCCCAAAGCAATGAACGTTCTTCTGTATGCTGGGTTCTCAAAGAAGGGTCCCAGGTCCCCATCCCCTGACCTCAGGAACTGAGCCGTTGTTGGTTACAGCATACAGTAGGCACCTGAAAAATGTTTGTGAAATAATTTCCAAGTAGAGCTCCTCCTGCTGCTGTAAAAGTGGCCGGGAGCTCTGCTCTGCCTTCTGAGGTCCCTGGCCTCCCCCACCTCGTCTTGGTGTGCGCTCCCGTCTCCTCCCAGAGCCCCGAGAGAGACCTGAGCACCGTCTTGAAATTGCCGCTCCGCTTTGCCTGATTCAGAAATGCGCTCTGCTCTCCTGGTGGTGTCAAGCGTGGGCCGCAGGGCCCGCCGGCCCCAGGCAGGCTCTCCCAGGGGCAGACCGTGGGCATGGTGAAGCCAGAGGCCTTGGGCCCTACTACCGGGCCATGGGCTGGGGTGCGAGGGCTGTGCTGTGGGTCCAGGATGAGAGGCTGGGATCTGGCCCGTGCACCCTGGGGGTGGAGCCTGAGGCGGGGCTGATCCTTCTCAGTCTCCTCTCCCTGCCCTGCCACCTGCAGTGAGTGGGGAAAGAAGGCGGCTGATGCTACCAACAGTCCTCCTCCTTCTCGCCTCCAAAAGCCCATCCCGCCTCTGTCCCCACTCTCCCTTGCTTAAGAACTTCATCTTTTGGGATTTCCCTGGTGGTCCAGTGGTTAAGACTCCACGCTTCAGCTGCAGGGGGCACGAGTTCAATCCCTGGTTGGGGAGCTAGGATCCTACGTGCAGCAAAAGAAAACAAACAAACAAACAAACAAAAATACCCTTCATCTTATGTATATGTATAACTGATTCACTTTGTTATAAAGCAGAAACTAACACACCATTGTAAAGCAATTATACTCCAATAAAGATGTTAAAAAAATATATAAATAAATAAATAAACCCTTCATCTTTGTTTAGCCAGATTTCTCTGCTTGAAGGAGGAGGGACAGGGGCTCTTCTTGTTATGCCAAGGGACCTACAAAACTGCGGGCAGGGCCAAGGGTGGGAAGCCCAGTTATAATCTGCATTAGTGCCCAGTTTCCCCAGTATCCTTGCTGGTTGGCTTCATCCTGCCCTCTCACCAGCCAGCAGTCTTCCGTGTGTGTCTCCTTTGGCTGTCAGGAGCCCTGTGAAAATCCGATGAATCAAAGTGGACTCGTCTCCTTGACCAAAGAAACAGCCCCAGAATCCTGTCCCTGAGTCTCCTTTTATGGAGACAACTCTGATCATGTTGACCCTCAGCTGAGACGGAAGAGGGAGCAAATAGATCCTCCTGTTTCACCAAGACTTGCCTTTCTCATTTTGGAGCTGTTTTCTTGATGGGGTTGAACTTGGTGTGATTGGGCCAAATGCATGCTTTTAAGCCTCTGATGAGGGAAAGCCCTGAATTTAGACCCAGACTCCCAGAGCACGGGTTCTGAATACCGAGACATACTGGTCTGTGGCAGTAGGCTACCTGCCCGTATATAAATTTGCTACAAATTTGTTTATTTTCCTTTGCCTTTTGGATGTATGCCATCTTTTTTTTCTCTTTTACTTCCATTGCATTATTGCTGAAAATAAATGAAGAACTAGTGTTGTTTGCCGGGGGCCCAGTATCATGGTTATTGCCCTTCTGTTGGTCTGTCTGTGAGGTCGGAAAGAAGTATATCTTTGCTTCTTCAGCTCAGAGCTTCCTGGTCACCTTGGATTTGGGAAAATCAAAGGATTTCCCTGAAGGAAGCTCTGATAAAGAGCCAGCAGTGTTGCTTCGTGTTATGGGGAGGTGCCAGAAGGAAAGGAGTGCCGGCACTGTGGGCGCTGAAGGCCTCCACTGCAGGCTGGCCGCGATGCCTGCCAGACAGAGCAGGCCGGGTCTGGGAGAGAAGGGGAGGAGAGAATGGAAGGAAGGTTCCACCCCTTCCCCTCGTAAAATTAATGTCTGTTTTTCAGCATGAGACATGAGTTTGGGCATGCTGCTGAAACACTGCCCACATGAGCCATAGACCAGAGGGCGGGGTGTAGAACAACTCTTGGGAATCACAGCATGAACCCCGAGAAGGCATGTGGTGGCATCGAGGCAGCTTAAATGTTCCCCTGCAGCCAACCTGAAATCTAGGTCAGGTATATACACGATCAGAATTTTAGCAGGGCTGGAAAAGGATGACTTCTGGCTCTGTGTATGAAATGCTCTATATGAATATAAGTGTGGTAAGAGAATCTATCTTGTGTTTGGAGGCATTTCTAGAATGCAAGGGTTAGGGAGTGGTCAAGGATACGTATCTAAATTCTGTGAAACTAGTCATAGGGACCCATTACTCCTGTACCATCCCTGGGGTCACGTTCATTCTGTTCTCTTTCAGCAGGCTGGAAGCCTGGGTGTTACCTCTGTGATTAATTTTCCCTTCTAAAATCCTCATTCTAGAAGTTAGAGTGAAGGATTATTTTCTGAAGTTAAAGTCTCTTTTAACTTTAGGTGGTTTCTCTTAGCCCAAAGACATCTTCCTCTTGGTAGAGGACATTGTTTGCAAGGTTTTCGAGATTTCCTATACGCTCATTCTTCATGCTTAGTGACAGAGTTCATGTATTTCTAAAAATAACACAGAAAATGTGTGTTTAGAATGATTCAAGACATTTTCTTGAGTATCTGCTAAGGTTAATTCTGGTGCTCAATATTCCCAGTAAGTATTTAGTGTGTACCAGGTGTCAGGTTTTAAAGCACTCACTTGTATTTCCAGATTATATTTTGAAATCTCAATATTGAAATTTTATTTCTATTTTTTTATTCCCAAGTATTTTCTTTCTTTCAATGCTATTAGATATGCTATTAAATGAAATTAAAGTTTTAATTTCCTTTTCAAATTGTTCATTGTTAGTATATAGAAACATGACTGATTTGTGTATGTTGATTTTATATCCTGCAACTTTGCTGCATTTGTTTATTAGTTCTAACAGTTTTGTGTGTGTGTGTGTGTGTGTGTGTGTGTGTGTGTGATCTTTAGGGTCTTCTACATATGAAATCACGTAGTGTGTGATCAGAGATAATTTTACTTCTTTTTTTCCTAACTTAGATGCTTTGTATTCATTTTTCTTGCCTGACTGCTCTGGCTAGGGCTTCCAGTAATATGTTGAATAAAAGTGGTGAAAACGAGCATCCTTGTCTTGATCTTGATCTTGGAGGGAAAGCCTCCAGTCTTCTCCATTGAGCATGAGGTTAGCTATGGGATTTTCACATATGGCCATTATTATGTTGAGATAGTTTCCTTCTATTCCTAGTTTGTTGGGCGTTTTTATTATGAAGATATGTTGCATTTTGTCAAATGCTTTCAGCATCAGCTAAGAAAATCACGTGTTTTTTTTTCCTTGATTCTGTTAATCTAGTGTATTACATCGATTGATTTTCTTATTTTGAACCATCCTGGCCTTGTAGGAATAAATCCTACTTGGTCATAGTGTATAAAATTTAATGTGCTGTTGAATTACGTTTGCTAGTATTCTGTTGAGGATTTTTTGCATCAGTATTCATCAGGGATATTGGTCAGTAGTTTTTTTGTTGTGTCTTTGTCTGGCTTTGGTATCAGGATAATGCTGGCTTCACAGAATGTGTTTGGAAGTATTCCTTTCATTTCAGTTTTTCAGAAGAGTTTGAGAGGCATTGGTATTAATTCTCCTTTAAATGTTTGGTAGAATTCATCAGTGAAGCCATCTGGTCCTGGGGTTTTCTTTGTTGGCAGGTCTTTGATTACTATTAAGTCTCCTTTCTAGTTATAAGTCTGTTCAGGTTTTGTATTTATTATTTAGTCTTGGTAGGTTGTGTGTTTCTAGGAGTATGTCTGTTTTATCTAGATTATCTAATTTTTTGGCATACAATTATTCATAGTACTCTTTTATAATCCTTTGTAATTTTTGTAAAATCAGTAATAATGTCTCCTTTCATTCCTGATTTTATAACTTGAGTCTTCTCTCTTTTTTTCTTAGTCAATCTAGCTAAAGGTTTGTCAATTTTATTTGTCTTTTCAAAGGACCAGCTCTGCTTTCATTGATTTTCTCTGTTGTTTTCTATTCTCTATTTTGTTCATTTCTGCTCTAATCTTTATTATTTCCTTTCTTCGTCTACCTTCGGGTTTCATTTGTTTTTCTTTTCAAGCTCCTTAAGGTGTAAAGTTAGGTTGGTGATTTGAAATCTTTCTTCTTTTTTCACGTAAGTATTTATAGCTATAAATTTTCCCTCGTACACTGCTCTCACTGCATCCCATAAGTTTTGGTGTGTTGTAGTTTCATTTTATTTGTCTCAAGATATTTTCTGATTTCCCGTGTGATTTCTTCTTTGAGCCATTGGTTGCTTAAAAGTATGTTGTTTGATATCCACATATTTGTGAATTTTCCAGTTTTCCTTCTGCTGTTGATTCCTAGTTTCATTGCATGGTGATCAGAAAATGTACTTTGGAAAAAAGAAAATATACCTTTGTACAATTTGTCTTTTAAATTGTTAAGACTTGTTTTGTGGCCTAATGTATGACCACATCTGTTAGGAGAATGTCCTGGAGAATGTCCCATGTGCACTTGAGAAAAATGCATATTCTGCTCTTGGGCAGAGTGTTCTGTGTATGTCGGCCAGTTACAGTTGGTCTGCAGCGTTGTTCAAGTTCTCTTTCCTTATTGATCTTCTGTCTGGTTGTTCTATCCCTTATTGAAAGTGGGGTATTGAAGTCCCCTACTATGATTGTAGATCTATTTCTCTCTTCACTTTTGTCACTGTTTACTTCATATATTTAGGGGCTCTGATGTTTGTTGTATATGTTTATAACTGTTATATCTTCTTGATGAATTGACCCTTTTATCATTATATAATATCTTTCATTGTAACAGCTTTTTGGCTTAAGGTCTGTCTTGTCTGACATTAGTATAGCTATCCCTGCTCTCTTTTTGTTTACTATTTGCATGGAATATCTTTAACTATCCTTTCATTTTCAACCTATGAATGTCCTTAGATCTAGAGTGGGTCTCTTGTAGACACAATATAGTTGGATCCTGTTTTTTTAATCCATTCTGCCAATCTGTGTCTTTGGGTTGGGGAGTTTAATCCATTTACATTTAAAATAATTACTAATAGGGAAGGACTTAATTGCCATTTTGTTATGTGTTTTCTATATGTTTTAAGGGTTTTTTTGTCCCTCCTTTCCTCCCTTACTGCCTTCCTTGTTTTTAATTGATTTCTTTTGTAACGATACATTTTGATTTCCTTTTGTGTATATTCTATACATTTTTTTTTTGTGGTTGCCATGAGGATTACATACAACATCCTGAAGTTCTTACAGTCTATTTTAAACTGATATCAATGTAACTTCAGTATTGAAATTTTCTTGTCCTTGAGACCTTACTACAGTATGTACCAGGCATTGCATTAAGCATTCCACATTTACCTCATTTTAATCCTTTTAGTAACCTGAGATGCAGCTATGACTATCTGTGTTCTACAAATGAAGAAACCGAAACACAAGGAGAATAAATAATTAACCCAAAATCACATAGCTAGGAGGTAGCACAGCAAAGTCAGAATTCAGTCTGACCTGCCACACCCTCCTGTGTTCCACCCAGCACCGGGAAGAGTCTGAACTCGTTTCCTCTGCATTCGTCACATCAGGTGGGGTGGCAACATGGCTTTGTTAAAACTTGTAGCTGACTAGTCCCGTTCTTTCTAAAATTGATGACTTCTATTTTTTATTCGACATTTAACATGGGTGTATATGCGAACATGAAAACACAGGAATGGTAACCCAGAGTCGCAACTTGAAAGTATACACGTAAAAATAAAAGTTTTCTGAAGTTTAACGTGGTCAACTTATAGTGGAAGTTTTCCTCAAAATTATTAAAAATTTTTTTCAATAATGAAGCAAAACTTGAAACTCTTCATTCAAGTACTAAGTATACATTTTAAAAACACCGTAGGTTGGATCGTAGGGGATTGTTTAATGAATACATTTTTTTTTTCTTCTTTAATAGTCTACTGCCGGAAACATTAATTGGAAGTATGTGCTCCGTTCATTTGTTGATATTTTATCGCCAGATTCTTGGAGACGTGCTCCTGAAAGACAGGATGAGCATGCGCAGTGCTGGTGAGAAGTCTTTGCAGTTTCCTTACGTACAACACTGCATCATGCTTTGAGTAAATGTAACCTCTGCCAGCCTTTATCTTCTGCTTCTGAAGGTGACATTTGGAATAAAATATTTAGAATAGCATCAGTGTCAATCACTTACTTCAGATGCAAAGCACTGTGCTCAGTGTGCATCCTGTGTGAGCTCCGTACGTGTTCTGTTCTTTACAATATACACTTTTTACCATTCAGATTCTGGGGACTTGAGATCCTAAATTTCAGATATAATCATATTTTCCTTTAATGTCTTTAATAATGTTTTTACTACGTGTTTGATATGTATATCATCTTTTTGGAAAGAGACCAAAATTACCCAGAATAACTGGTTCTTAATGCAAGAAGTTTAAAAAATCAATAAAATTGGTGAATCCAGGTAAGAGGTGTTCAGGGGTTCTATTTTTATTCTTGCAACTTTTTTGTCAGCTTGAAACTTTTTCCAAGTAAAAATGTTAAAAAGTAATTTTAAAAAATCAGTGAGCTGTCACACATGATTGAACTTGCACAGAGATATGCATGTGTTGTAAGAATTACCTCCAGAGAAAGTTGAATTTTATTGGATATTCTTTATTGAGTGCCTAGTATATGCCAGGCATTGTGCCAGGACCCAGTGATGAATGAGACAGGCACCATCATCCCTACTCTCGTGGAGCAACAGACTTCAAACACAAAATTATATGAATAATCCTTTTCAACCTCAAGTGTTCTGAAGGGAAATGCACAACAAGAGCGTACCCTAGGAAGACCTGAATTAATTCATAGGATGAGGGAAGGCTTCTCTGGGCAAGGAATATTTAAGAGAAGACCTGAGAGAGGAGTTACACATGCAGGGGAGATGGGTGGGGGCGGATCCTTTCTGGATAGAGGGACCAGCATGTCTGAAGACCCAAGGCAAGAAAACCTGAGTGCACTGGAGGGATTGAAATCGAAGGCAGGCCAGTGTGGCTAGAATCGAGTGAGAGGGAGAGAGAGCCCCATGATGACTCGGCTCTCATGGACAAGTGGAGTTCATGGTTAGACACGAGTCCCCTCCCAGGGACACACCACCTGGATAGGTAGATAGAAATGGAACTACCTAGAGTCAGAGAAGCACCAACATTTCTCAAAGAATAATTGTAATTCTAAAGGAAGGACAGTTTAAGCCTTTTAGTCGTCACTTGCCTCTGAATTTGTTTCAATGACTCTAGAGAAACTTCACGAACGACCTGACTCCTTAAAGAGGAGAAGGCTTATTAGTCTTCCTATAGGTAGGGAGACGCCTACTCAGAATTGTTGGCTTCATTTGAACCTGCGCATCAGAATAAACTTAGTAAGACCTAGAGAGAGGATTTTTCTCTACTGAGGACACAAAATTATAGAAGTCTTTGCCCTCGCCGTTTCTGAAGTGTCCTTCCTGGTGGGCCTCTTTGCACAGCCCTCCACCTGCCATTATTGATTGTGGAATATCAGTATTCTCCTGCACAGTATTTAGGCACGTGGTCAGAATCCCCACCTCCTCATTCCTTCCGATGTCATGCAGCACCATCCGTTGGCCCCAGGCTGGGCAGGAGCTGCCCGCCCTCCACCTCCTTTCCCTTGGTGCCCCTGGTTCCCACTCAGCCTCCTGAGAGTGTGGGAGCCTCCTAATTGGAAGATTTCTCTTAGCACACCACACTCCAGTCATGAGGAGGAAAGAGAGGTTGAAAAAAAAAACATAGAAAGAAGAACAAAATGTTCTAGTCTTATTCTGTTCAGAGCCACTTTACTCCCACCTAAAAGCTTTATCTGCTTGGTACCAGACTCATTTCAGACTTCCCCGGGGTGTGGATATAGGGGCAGATGGAGGGAGGGGGCAGCTTCCAGCCCTCCGAGAGGTTAAAGTGGGTAGAATGTGTTATCAACAAACCACGTGGCTCAGTAATTTTAATCTGAATGAATGTCTGTTGCTATAAAATACTTTGGCTGAAGTTTATGTAAAATCCTTTTTATTCTTTTGTATTTCAGATTTAATTAGTAATCCAGTGCTGGCCACCTTCCCCAAGCTCTTGGAGCAGCCTGACATAATGGATGCCCTCAGGGTGGGTAGTGTGCATCATGATGGAAACCTGGCGGGTTCTAAAAGCGGTTAGACACACTGCATAATGAGTTCTGACACCAGCTCTAGGCTTCTGTGGGGTTTGTTCCTTCCCTATTTGGATGATGTCTCCCGATCCCTGTCTATTGTCCAGCTAACTTGATCTCATCTGTCCCTTCTTACTATGGAGGTTACTTCCCCAGGGCTGCCTTCCCTGACCCCATAAGCAGATGGCGTGCCTGCCTTCTACCCCGTCGCAATCTCCTTCCTCCCTGTTGTTTGTTCCTTGACTTAAGGTGGCCACCGATTGTGTCCTGAGAGCAAAAGTCCAAAATAGTTTGTTAGATAAATTGACCGAGTTTTCGGGGGAGAATCAGGGCCTGCATATCATTTTTATTTTAATTTGAAGTATGTTATCTGTTGTATGAAAAAGCAGCTGGATATTAGGTTGAACCATGTGAAGTCTCTAATTTTTAGCCAAAACGGCAGTTTCACAAAGTTCAACTTAAATATTAGAATCAACAAATATTAGGCCTGTGAGGCAAATACTCAGATACCATAAGTGCCGTGGGGGGGCGTGTAATCCAGGTCCTTGCAGATTTAAAGGAGGCAGCGTATAAGGATCAGGAGCCTGTTTCATTAAAGAGGTCCTCAGGGAGATGTACCTAATGAAAGCCTGGGGGCCAAGCCGGGTTTCAACATCACAGGTGGGAGGGTCAGCACAAGCAAACATTTTGAGGCAGGAGGGAAGAGGGCGTGCTCTTGAGGAGAGCAGACGACCCCGTCTGGCCTGTCGGATGTCGTCTGTAGACGGTCAAGGGCGATCTCAGTCTCATCCTGTGGGTGAAGAGTGTGGTAGGTGGTGGGCAATCCATGAAGGGTTTTGCTTTCGGAACCCCGGACAGCACAGAGACGTGGAGAAGCGCGTGCGCAGGAGGGAGGGGAGCTGTGTTGGGAGGTGAGTCCTCTTGATAAGGAGGGAGGCCATACGGCCTGGCGGAGCTGGAAGGAGGAAGCATCATCTACAGAGGTTTTTATTAGACTTTGAAACTGATTTCATGTGCTGGTTTGGCTGGGGAGGGGGTGTCAACAGTAATGATGAGGTTTTAGCAAAAAGATGTAAGAAAATGTTCCTGGCATGTGCTTATCTGTAATTTCAGACAAGCTCATCTGGCACTATAGTTAGATAATGCAGGATTTCTCTTTCTTCCCCTATAAAGCATTAGTATATTAATATTTACTCATTTTACAAAACGTACATACATTGATTCATTCAACAGATATTTCACGAGAGCCCACTGTGGCTAAGGCACCATGCTGGGCCCTGGAAGGTCTTTGATTCACACTTCTGTGGGGTTAACTGAACTCTGGGTTTTTTATTTCTTTAAAGAAGCTTTTGTGAAACTTGGTGCACGGATTGGAAATATTTACTTGCAAAGCTGTCCTTCATTCTACGTCTCCCTGTCCACTGTCCTCATCTCGGCAAACAGAATTGTCGAGGAGTATGGTATTTGGCAGAATTTTCTATTTTCACGTCTGTCTTACCTTGAAAGCTTAATGGTATTTTATTGTTTAGGTGCTGCGTTGGTGCAGTTTGCATGCATGTGTTAGCGTTGCACTGATTCTCTGTTCTTAAATTAGTTCTGACCTGTAAGGATCACGGGCTTCTGAGGAATCGTTCACTGATACATCCCGCCTAGTCAGCCTGGTTCTGGGTCATTAGCACTTGATGCCTAATTAGAGATTCACTCCTTACATGTGCAGGATCTGTACAGCGTTTGTAATCCTGTCCGTAAGTTGCATTACAGAGTGAAGTTGCAGAGGTGTGGCAAAGACTTGTGAATACTCGGATTAACACAATCTTTCTATCTGCTTTTTAGAGTTCCTGGGCTGAGAAAGAGAGTACCTTAAAAAGGTCAGAGAAGGTAAGGTGATTGTGCGCCCCAAGCTTCACACGTTCTGTGCTCAGTGTCTGCCGCACACCCTAATCATGCCTCTTTTTTAGCTGAAGTAACCATGGTCCTAATCCCTCTTTGACAGTTAAACGGTGTTATTACGGTTGCAAAGACACCTTCCAAGAAGGGTATGGGTGATGGATTCCAAGTGTAAAAAGAAACACTTGATCGAGACAGTCATTTCAGATCACTGAGTTTATTGAACTGAGGGGAACTTTCTAAGCCAAAGTGTCCCAGTTGCCTATCAAATTTCTCTCATTGAAAAAAAAAAAAACAATTCCCCTAGCTCTCAAAGTCCGTATCAGGTAAGGAGAGGGAAGAAGAAAATTGGCATAAGCTGTAGCACACATTGAAAGCATGCATGGCTGTGCTTACGTGGCCGGAGAGCGTGGTCATTACAGAACTTGCGGTGATCAGTGAGTAGTGGCTTGACTGCTCTAGTCTGGGATTGACAGACTTTTCCGGTAAAGGGCCAGAGAGTAAATATTTTTGGCTTTGCAGGCCACATGTGGTCTGTCTCAAACATCCAGCTCTGCCACTGTAACGCAAGGAAGCTTCAGGCAATATGTAAACACCTGGGCAGGGCTGTTTTCTGTAAAACTATTTCTAAAAAGAGATGGCAGTGGGCTGCATTGGGCCCGTGGTCCATGGTTTTAGGACTACTAATCTGAACTTTTCATTATCCTCAAGGAATCATGGGAGAACAAAGACACTAAAAATTGGAAAAAAAATAGCGTATATATTGTATCCTTATTTGAGTTTTTGTTTGACTAAAACTGGCAGGTTTAATGCCCTTCTAGCTTGGCAGTGGACAGGTGCTGGGCCTCGGGCCTGTGGAAGCTGCCTCTCCGCACACGGTAGCCTGCGGGGGCCACATCGCAGTGTAGACCGCCACCCCGGCTGTGATTCCCACCCCAGCTGTCGGAGCTGGGCCGCTGCCCGTGTGCATATTGCCCAGCTCTTGTTATGGGGAGGTGGGGTTGACAACACATTCTTACTGCTTGGGGCTCCTTTCTCTGGATTTCACGCAGAGCCCTTGCTACCCTTCCCCCGTACAGCTGACTTCACATTGTGTCTTAGTTCCATTTACCTGGAACCGCACCCTTGTCCCCGGAATTAGATTCTGGCACCCCAGTCTGCTTGATGGAATGTCCGAGACACTCCGTGGCACTCAAGGGGCACCCTGGCCTCAAGGAGCCCCTTGCAGACCCTCAGAGAGAACCACTTGTCTCTCTCCGCGGTGACTCCTGTTGTGTCCACGTCCTGACTGAGCAACCGATTCAGAGCCGACTACCTGCCAGACACTGATGGCACCTCCCTCCCACCCCCTAGACGGCTTCCAGTTAACAGAGCTCATACAGTGTAACACTTGAGGAGTAATGAGCTGGGTCCACTCACAGTCACTGGTGGTGCCGGTGTCTTCGCAGAGAGACAAGGAGCTCCGGAAGGCCGTGTTCCTCCTGGTTTACCACGACTGCGCGCTTCCCCTCCTCCACTCCGCGCTCCTGCCCCCGTTCAGGTGGGCGGAGGAGGAGACCGAGGCCGCCCGATGGAAGGTCATCGCCGACTTCCTCAAGCAAAGCCAAGAAAACGAGGGCGCCCTCCAGGCTCTGCTGTCGCCAGCGGGGCTGCATGAGCCTTTCGACATTTCAGAGCAGACCTATGACTTCTTGGGTGAGATAAGAAAGATCTCAGCCTGACAGCGGTGCGCCTTGACCTTCCACTTCCCACTGAATCTGATAGACCCTCCATGACAACCTGCGTCGCGTGACAAAACCATAAGTAGCTGTCCCATCATAACTTAGGCTTTATTCTTTTTTGTTCAGGCCACATTCTATAAGAAATATTTATCTGGTAATATGAATATGTGTTAACACAATGAAGTAAATTTTTATAAGAAATACTATTATATCTAAATTTAAAGAGAATTTTTTTTCAAAAACCAACTAACAAATTTTTGTTTTCTTTTTCTTTTTCTTTTTTATTGAGTATAGTTGATTTACCATAGTATGAAAGTTTCAGGTGTACAATATAGTGATTAACAATTTTAAAGATTATACTCCATTTAAAGTTATTAATACTTGCTGTATTCCCTGTGCTGTACAATATATCCTTGTAGCTTATTTATTTTATACTTAATAGCTGTGCCTCTTAATCCCCTCCCCCCTCCCCTCTCCCCACTGGTAACCAGGAATTTGTTCTTACAGCTGTGAGTCTCTTTCTCTTTTTCTTATTGAAGTGTAGTTGATTTACAATGTTGTGTTAATTTCTTCTGTACAGCAGAGTGACTCAGTTATACATATATATACACTCTTTTTTATATTCTTTTCCATTATGGCTTATCATAGGATATTGGATATAGTTCCCTCTGCTATGCAGTAGGACCTTGTTGTCCGTCCATTCTGTATGTAATACCAAGTAACAAATTTAAGTTAACTGTATCTGTAGATTCATATGAAAGCAAGATTTTGTCAGAAGCTAAATTTATGACTATTCAATGAAGTGAAAATATAATCCACAGAATAGGAGAAGGTATTTGCAAATGATATATCTGATAAGAGTCTAGGACCCAGAATATATTAAATATATGATTTTTGCTAATAAACTTTGTGTTGTGAAATGTAGGGGAAATCAGAGTAATCTATTTGAGAAAGTTGTGTTATTAATCACTGAATTCAGTCTAATATTTGAATGTGGTTTATTCTAATTAGATATAAAAACAGAATCTAGTTTTACCTTTTCAAGTCCATATAATTGGTGCTCTTAAAAATAAAATAAAACAAAACAAAAAAACACCTCCAGGCTTTGGGAACCAAGTTAACCCACCCCTGTGTCAAAGAACAAAGATTTTGTTGCATTTCAAATAAACCTGTGACTGCCAGTAAATTGTCCCAAGCCTTCACTGTTAATGATAACAGTACAGCTGGCATTTGTTGAGTGCCTGCTGCGTATGTTCTCATTTACTAGGTTAGCGCTCACAGCTACTATAGGAGGCCAGCACTGGCTTTTTCCTGTATTACTACTGCTGAAGAAACAGGCCAGGCAGATTCGATAATTTTCCTAAAGTCAGAGCTAGTAAGTGGCACAGCTAATGTACCTCGTAGAGACACCATGTATAATCTACAACCTAAGACATTCCCCTCAGCAGTGCAAACATTTAAGAATTGCATGTGAAAATAAAACATGAGAAGGCTATTGGAAGAAAAAGGCAATCAAATTAGAGTTTAACCTAAACTATCAGAGCACCGACTGAGGAACTTTTTTTGACAGCGTGCTGCCTTAAAGGAGGCATTTACTTTTAGAGATCCATTGTATTGTGAAACTCCTGGGCTACATCTTTAGTCCGCTTCCGCTAAACCCTTAACCGAAACTCAACGTGGGCCTTCATCTCCGAACTTAACATGCTATGAAAGGGCTCCCAGCCACAAATGTCATGAGAGAACATGGCCTCGGAGAAGAGATTTCGCTACGTCTCCACCGCCCCCCCAGACCCCACCCCATGCCCTCAGCGACGTGTGGGAAGCCATCATGACGAGCGGCCTGTCCCCTTCCCAGGGCGGTGCCTCTCTCCCTCTGGGACCATGGCCCTCGACAGCTCCTGCTGCAGGAAAGGGGTTCCCGCCTGTGTAAATGGAGGTGGCGAGCGTGTGTACAGAGATTTCCCCGTTCTGTCAGAGTTGTCTCATCTTAGGTCCCTGCTGTCTCGTTTGAGAGAGCATGAAACCATGTCACTCCCCATCGCGAAGGTCATTTTTCTGTAGACTCTTTAATTCCTAGCTGCCGCCTTTTACTTTTTCTAATCATTTAGCTTATTCTTAGCATCAAGCCAGAGGTGGGGCATTCTGAGTGAAAGAAAATATTGCTGGTGAATTCCTTTCAGTGAATGCACGGCATGGAGCGAGGGAGCTTTCCATAGAGGGTGTTTTCACAGACTGTCTTCTGTGTTCATTTGAAATGTGTCGTGCTTGACGAATGCGGCCAACTTCAGGGTTTCTGACACATAAGCAAAACACCGAGACAGGGGAGAAAACAGTTTCAGTCATGCTCAGGCCCAAAAGGAAGGCGCGGAGGCAGTTGGCCCGCACGGAGGAGGCTGTTCCGCAGGGGTGAGCGTGTCTCTGCCATCGAGAGGCTGAAGTTCCCTCTACAGTCAGTGGAGGCTTTTTTTTTTCAAAACAATGAAACCTCTCTGGCTTTTTAATGCCACCTTTTAGCTTCCAAAACAGGAAGAGGCTGTCAAGGAGCCAAAAACATCCTGGAAATGAGTCCTTGGGGGTCTGCGTGTCAAGGAGCGTGACTTGGCAACACACCGACTTAACCGTGAACTGAAGTGGGGAGCGGCAAGACGGCAGCAAGTACGGGGTGCCTCCCTGTGGGGGGGGGTCCCCACATCAGAATCACGGGTCAGGGCAGGGGGACCTTCCCTGGCAGTCCAGTGGTTAAGACTTCTCCTTCCAGTGCAGGGGGTGCGGGTTCGATCCCTGCTCGGGGAGCCAAGATCCCACATGCCTCGCGGCCAGAAAACCAAAGCAAAAAACAGAAGCAATATTGTAACAAATTCAATAGAGACTTTAAAAATGGTCCACATCCAAAAAAAAGAAAATCTTAAAAAAAAAAGAAAAAA